ATTTGCGACTATTATCCACTGCCTTTAAGTACGAATAAACATGTTTTTCAGGCTTCGAGAATGTCATAATCATAAACCAAGTGAACCAAGGTTGTCACTAAACAAGTTGCGTAATATTCATTCGTCTATTTACACGAATGTTATTTAATTCCACGCTGAAGCATGACGTATGTATTTATCCATCCATATTACTGTAACTGTAGTATCAACTCAAATATATCCAACAAGCAAGAGATTCCTCTTGCGCGAGATATTAGGACCTAATGAGGTTTCAGGACCTGACGAGATTAGGTAACCTCTCGATATTTTCTTTCCTCCTTCACAGTTTACATCGAGTTCTTAGGTTTTTCCGATTGTTACACATAGGATATGAAACTATTTTTCCGGATTTAAATCGCGTATGTTTATTTTTTTAAACAAACCAACGTTTCGGGCTTTACAGGTCCATGGTCAACTTACATAGTCAACATAGTCAACCGTGACCATCCTGTAAAGGGCCCGAAAAGTTGGTTTGTCTGCAAAAAACAAATATACCTACGCGATTTAAACCCGGAAAAATAGTTTCATTTCCTACATCAAAGTTTAGTTACGAATATAATAATAGCGGAGTTTGCCTCTGACTCTATGGAATTTTCAAATGACGAATAAAAAATTACCTTAAACCTAACCTAACCAAACTTACCTGTTATTTGTTTATTGAAAATGGAAACTTACACTTATAAAGTGTATACACGTACCCTACTACCGAATGTCAGGGAAATGGAGTTGGGTAGGACTAGGAAAGGGTAATTGGTTTTTAGTGAAATATTAGCTTTTGGAGTCGTTAACAAAGTGTTTCCCCCACTATAATTTTCCGAGTGCGTGATTTAGTTGAATTTGCAACGTTGTTTTTTTCGAATTTGAAATATCTGTTCACGTGATTCTCTTATTTATCTAATCTGTAGCGAATTATAAATCTTCAGCAAACACAGGCATGTGTCTGGAACTTTGTTTTTCTCGTTCTAAAGTTAAATACAGGAAGTAAATAAATTAGAACTTTAAACACAGGATTTCAATTTTATATGATTGATGACACAAGGAACTTGGTTGTTTTCTTGTAGGTATTAAATTCTGGTGAGATGTCCGTCAAACAATTTATGGTTAGACGTATATCATAGCGATTGATTGAATCTTAAATAAACTTTATCAAATCTGGGTGAACCTTATCTCTATATCGGTAAAAATGCGTCAAAACATCTCATCGTCAGGAAGACGATTTAAAAAACACTGAAGCATATTTGGCGTGCTTAGACAACGAACCCAGTAAGTATATCAATGATGGCACGTAATCATTTTAGTCAATGAGGAGCTCGGTGTTTCATTCACAATAAAATTTTTAGCGGAATAAAGCTGTATAGTCAATAACATTTACTATTTTGCTTTAAGACATTGTTTTTGTAAAGCAGTTGTATAAACACCTGTTATTTTCCAAATACATCGGACATGTATTTTTATAAATTTTACAAATCTATTAAACTTTCCATTAAAGACACCGCGCTGTTGTCGAATTGTCACTAACTAGTTGAAAATACACAATAAATTAACAAAATAATCAGATATACCGGAACAAAAAACATCAATTAAAATACCCTATTAATCTTTACAAAGTCTTCTCTAATTCTTTCTACTACTAGTTTTATCCAAAATTACGTCGTCGATAACGTCAATATCAATCATTCAATCAATACTATGTTTATTGTCATTGGATAAGAATGTAACCTTTATATCGGATATCTAATTCTGCACAATTCTCTGTCTCTCTCATGTAACTGATATCTTCTCACCTTATCTTAGGACGAAGATATGTAAAAAATAGCTCACGTGAAAGGTTTATATGTGTTGTAGAATAAACATATAAGTAAATTTTGAATTACTATTTTTTAATTTGCGTAAATTTTGTGACTAAATGTGTATTAACTCAATTTAAGTAAAACGGTATATAGTTAAAAAGACAATGTAAAATGCATTCCGTGGTTTATGGGTTAGGACGACCAACAGCTTTTACTTGTAAGTAATGAAATAATAAATATGTAAGTATGTAACCTAAAACAATAAATAAAATAATAAATAGTTTAACAGAAAACGCTTGCCGTATTTCACCTGATGACCGGTCATTGTGATAACAACCAACATCAGCAAAATACTATAATAAATAATGCGGTCCTTATACAAAATACTTCATATCATACATAATATAATAACATTCATGTAATAAAAATAAATCAGACATTAATAAATATGGTAAAGGTTACAAACTCTACACACACAAATACATGAGTGTATTTGTGTGTGTAGAGTTTGTAAACACACGTAGTACATTTTCAAATTTCTCTTATTAAAATATAAAAGTGTGATAAAAGTACTAAGTGAAAAGTAGTATAACAAACATTGCGTGTCTCCCTTTTTGTTTGCGTGCCAATATTTTATAAATACTGTTTAAATAATTGCAAATAATAAGTTGTTTGTTGTTGATGTATACTTTGGATTATCTATGCTACTCGTATATGCCATAATTCTTGGGTCGGCGGACTAAAGCACATAAAACAAAATCCAACATCATTCATTTAAATTAATACATCTACCGGCTAAAGCATATAAGCCAAATTCATTTGTTACTCCATAAATTTGTAACTTTATTCTAGTGGCGTCTTTTTCAAATTTATCATTCCATTCACATCTTCCAACACTATAAGTAACACAAAAAAATATATAATAGTATATTAACAAATAAAGCACTTTTTTGACCTATGTGCTTTAGTCCGCCGACCCTAGAATTTTATGTCAGGAGCTTAGAGGCAAGAGTTAAATTTTCATATTTTAATTTCATTTTTTTTAAACGTTTATATAAAATATATAAGTTACTTGTACCTATTGTAATGTAAATAATCATAAGTTCCGCTTTGAAATTGTTAAACCTTGCGAACCATATGAACACACGTATATTTAGTAAGATCTTTTATAACATAAACGGTGGCAATGAGTAAATGAATATAAATATGAATACTTTTATAAAATTCATGCAATGTATAGGTACGAGATACCTATATAGATATTAAATAAATCACGTAAACAAGCCGTTAGGAATAATGTTGTACAGACCCTTTCCCACTTGATTGTTCGGTATACATAAAGAAAATCTATAGGGATATTTATCATCGCAATCAGAATAGAATTTGTTAAAAAGAAAGATATTTATATTTATTAAAAATTAATATTCCCATACCTACAATCAACCGGCCCATTAATCAATTTTGTAATATACTTAAACTCAACCTCAAAACTACAAAAAACTGCTGACATTTTTTTATAGCTTAGTAAAATGCAAGATTACCTAGCTTTATAAGAAATAAACATTCTCCGCTCATCTCGTATTTCAACCATTTTCAAATCACACTGTTAGTATAATAAGGCCACATCTACAAAATGCCAACTTATGAGGTTTAAAGTTTCTACGAAGGACATTACTCGGAACACTTTTTTTGCTTAACTTGGAGAGTTATGAAATTTTAATATATCCAATTGATTGAATGAGTTTGATAGGAACAACAGTTCGTTTGAGTATATTGTACCCTAAAATGCGTTGCTGAATATTTTACCTAATGTTATTATGTAGTTACGACAGTAAATCGAGGACGATATATATATATATACGCAAAAATCTTGTGACATTCAGATATAACATAGATATAAGCGTGTGAAATAAAAAATACATGGAATATCATTTGCAATTGCAGCAAACCTCGCTAATGAGCAGCTTGTAAATATCATAAGGAGATTGCTTTAGTCGGTCCGGTCAGCTAGCTTGAAAGCTATGCTAAATATATTGCATACCTTTTCTTTTTTTTTATATAATATCAAGTGAAGGGACGACCAACTCCTAAAGTCCAAGTCCAAGTGACGAACTCCTAAACTGAAAGAAGTTTTATTATATGTATAAACTTACCTTTGTACTCGTTTTTTACACCCAGCTACAGGTTTAAGCTATGAAAAAGGAGCTACAATCTTTTATTTTCTATCCACCGCACTTAGTTTTTTTTTTTCTAAAAAAGGAGACAAAAATGACACATCTGTGTGGTGTCGCAAATATCGACATATCATTTGCTCACGCAGCGTGACAACAATCACAGTGCGTCTAATTGTCGTCCGCGTTTCGCAAATAATGATTTTGTTCTATATGAGTACAAATTTAACGACTCGCGGGTGCGCGTGACCGCGGCGTCCGCCGCCGCTTCGCCGACTCGAACTTGACCCACATCTCTTGAGAAACCATTGTCTTTATTCTGGCCTCCATCTACTCCTCATCGTGTACTTACTCCTTTACTAAACAATAGTGGAAACTGTGATTGTTCCTCCCATCTCGTACACAATTTCTTGCTATACCTAGCTCAAAGAATAACGTTTACTACCTACTGGCCATGATTGTTAGTTAGTTACCAAGTGCAATAAAAAATCTCACAAAATACTCAAACAACGGATTTCCCACCTATTTGCACAAATCACTAAACAATTTGCCACTTATCATCTATAATTGTAAACTTTCCAAACTTTCATTTCAATTTCACCGGTTCTGTGATTTGATCCCGTTACATGGCGTTGACCTAGTGCACTGGATGGCGGCCAGTTTTCAACTCTAATGTGCTAACATTAGTTTGCAGATTGCTACTAAATTTAGCCAGTCATTTGCGGACGACGAAATGACCTTTGATGTCAGGCTGAAGATGGGAAAGTTAAAACAATTTGTCCCGTTTATTGCCGGTTTTCGCAATTACAAAGTGCTACTAGCTGCGGACACAGACATAGGTCATGGGCCAGTTAAAATTAGAAAATTTAAAGTGACACTGACAAAGATATTCTCTGAAGACTAATGTGCACGAATGACATATATATGTATCTGCCAAATTATACTTCTCAATAGATAGAGTTTAATCAAATATTCATTTTGTCTCTCTCCTCTTTTCCAGGCATGTCTTTAGACGAAGGCAGACAGTCACAGCGTCCTTATCGCTATGGCATGGTGCTGTTATGCGCTGGCGCCCTAATCAACTGGTTGGGACTGGCCGAAGACTACGCAGAGCCCGTACGCTACGTGGGCGTGGCGTGCATAGTCGCAGGCGCATTGCTCATCTGCGCGGCGATGTGTTGCTGGCTACAGTCACCCGCGAGGCAGCCGAACGCTGACAGAGCGTCGCCTGACACACATCAGGTCGGTTTTTAACATAGTTCAAAACGCAATACGCTTTTGTATTTGCTGTAAATAAACGTATTATCTAGACGCTCAAATTGGGGAAGGAAAACAAGGGACTCTTGCCAACCTCTGAAACTGACACACAAGCGTGTGACACACCAATTGCTTGGTCTCAAACTAAGGAATTCCCTGTACTATGAATATCAGAGCAACTTAATTCACTCCGAGGGCCCTTCTCATCCAGGGCCAGAGAACACAGTCCAAACCGGGGTACCACCTAGGTAGTCCCTTCCTACAAATTGATTTAACAGCGTGCTATATTGCATGTAAGAAGCAGACATCTGATACTTATACTAAATATATTATATATATATATATATATATATATATATATATATATATCATTTAAATGCTCGACTATTTAATCTAAATTTAAGTTTATTTTAATTTCAGATTGACGACCCTATCCACGTAATATCGATGCCAGACGAAGAAACAATGCAGCAGAAACCGCCCGACTACGACACCGTGGCAGGCGCGCCGCCCACATACGACGACGCGATTAAGCTGAACCCGGCGCGACTGCTACCGGCCTCGAGCAGCGCACGCGCCGATGCCCCGCCACCCCTAGACACCGTCATCCCGGGCCAGCCCGATGACGCCATCCGCACCGCGCCGCGCATAGCTATCGCCTCCATCCATCGATCCCAACTCCACCAACATACCCAAATCCCGAAAACCCCCCCACCACCTTACAGACCTCCTAACGCCATCAGATGAAGGCTTAACCTAACTGTGTGTTATACTATAAATCGACTGCTGTTTCATGTGATGAGACTTGTAAATAGACTAGATATTCCTGTACATAACGTTATTGTTGACGTCTCAACAATGTTGCGGTATTATTAATATTGTATGTACATATCCACGCATGAAACAATTTTTTATGTATTGGTAGGATTGTCGAGCTTAGGAGCGAAGCGTACTTATGTGATATTAAGAAAAATTGTAATGAGTAGTTACTTTATATCTACTGTACATAAATGGAGATTTTGTAAAATAGTTTATTATCGTAGAATTTAAGTGAGGATTTCTCTTCCAGTTATTATCAACAACTAGAGAAGACTTGATTATAAACAATTAATCATAGAGGCATTACGAGCAATGTGCCATCAATTTTATTTGTTTCTATATTTACATCCGCATTGTATCTACTATCAATAATTCTCATTTCGGAAGCGACCTCTTTAAATTAGTAATCAAGGACTGTAGTAGCATGAGATAAATATGTATTCAATATAACATTAGTGAATTGTACCTTGTAGTGCATAGTTTCACTAGTGTTTATTATTCCATTCTGTTTCTTGATTCTAGTCTTTTTAACGGCTAATAATGTATATTTACTTATTCGGGTAGGAGCAGGCAATTAATTGAAAAATAAATTCAATTACATTGTAAACTGTACACATTGTGATTGCACAACAAAAGGTGATTTTATACACATAAAACCGTGCTATCACTATCACATGGGGTTGCATGACGAATTGCCGTTTTTTTAATTACCTAAAAACACTACCTGAGCGTGAGTAACTTTTTATTGTACTTATGATTTTATTGATAACGTTGCTTAAATAGCAAAATAACACGCTCTTTAATAGGGAAAAATCTCACCAATATGCTAACGGCAGTTGGATTAACGTGTACTACTAAATTTATACTGCTAAATAAAGTTTTACTGCCATAATAATAACCACATTATCAGTAAGGATTAAAAACATTATGTGGGATTTCAATTTGTCGACTGTTTGAAAATTTTAAATTGAGCTAACAAAAAAAGCGCTAACTGAATTTTCAAGGGACCAAAAACAATCATACTAAACTTGTGTAAGTTTGTCTTATTTAATTCTATTGTAACTGCCTGAAACCGCGTTTGAAGCGCGTGTCTGTTACATTTTCTAGGGTTTTACGATGCTGAAGTTGTGCATTTATTGTTTGTACATTGTACAAAGTTGCTTATGTTGAAAGTGTACATACAAAATAAATGTTGTTGCGAAAAATATAGTGTAAAGTTTTCTTTTCCTATTCCTAAATCCTATAAAATTTAGAAGCGTGAAACATAAAACAATGAAATAAAACATCGGACATGAACGAAAAGTCTTTAAATTATTTAAATATACAAGTACGTATGTCTAAATATAAAGAAATTCAAATTAATCGGACAAATCGAACAAACCGGAAGGCGTTCAATGGAACGGCCCCCTACTAGATGGACGGATGACCTGGTAAGGGCGGCGGGTAACCGATGGATGCATGTCATGTCCCATCGGCTGGTCTGGAAATCTTTGGGGGAGGCCTATGTTCAGCAGTGGACAATAATAGCAGTGGAAATATACAAATAATAATTCACCTATGTCACAAATAGTCACCTTTTGTTAAAATTGTTTGAACTTTCGGCAGACACATTACATCCTTTTCAAGGTGAGGCGTTACTTCACACCGGGACAGTTGCTTCAGCTCTACCAAGCACAAGTCCGGTCGTGTATGGAGTACTGCTGCCACTTATGGGATGGCTGGCTCTGCTAAATACCAACAGCCACCTTGGATTCAATAGACAAGCGTGCTAAGAGGCTTATAGGTGACTCGGAATTAGTAGAGGCGAAGCTGCAGAGCCTTGAACATCGCCGTAGAGTTGCCAGCTTATCGGTATTCTACAGGATATATCACGGAGAGCGTGCGATGGAATTGCATAATTTGATTCCGTCTTCCCCTTTCCATCATCAGGTGAATAGACGTGGGCTGGGGTTCCACCCCTTTGTTGTGGATAGTCCCCGGATTCGCACGAAACGTTTTGCTTCCACGTTTGTATGGCGAGCGGCTCTGGAGTGGAATTCCCTGCCTGCAGACTTGTTCCGCGAACGCTATAACTTGGACCTTTTCAAGGCGAGAGTGAATAGGCATTATTTAGATGTGCATGCTACATTCTCGACCTCATCGTCACTTTCCATCAGGTGAGATGGAAGTCAAATGCGCACTTATTTTTTATAAAAAAAAACTTTCTAATTACCGTATTCACGAGACGGTAATCTAATCTAATTACCGTTTCCATAAAATATTCGTGTCTTAATAACTCGAAAGCTACTTTGTGTATTATTACGCCATTAGATATATTGATAGTTAAGCTTAAAGTTGTTCATAATTCAATGTTCTGGGTTACAGTAAGCGGGAAATAACAATGGCTACGGTAATTATGCTGAGAAACCGAAATGGCTACGGTAATTTGGCTGAGAACACCGAATGTGAGAATGGCCGAATAAATAAATAGATAAGCTAACGCTACGAAAACGTCATTGCACGCACCATGCAAAACATCGGTTGTCTACCACACACAATCGTATCTGATTGTCGGCGAACGTATAAAAGTGTAGACCCTGTCTACTAAAACTACATTTTTCAGTTACAAACACACACACACACTACTCGTACATTATACAAACTACAGTTAGTCAGTTATGTATAACGTACGCGTAGTCGGGTATTCAGTACCTATTGATATGTCGCGAAGAGTACCAAGTTTTTGTAATTAATTGTTTTACATTGACAAGCTGCAAATTTTCAAAGCTATATAACTAGCTCATGCCAATACTTAAAAAAGAAGAAAATTATCAGCGCCATCCTTAGACTATGGAAACTAATCTTGATTTTTTTTTTAATTTATTAAGGCTTTGGCAAAGCCATCAGCCTAAACATGAAGTTTAAATGTTTCTGTAAATATGGCCGCCACAAATAGTATAGGCAATTTGAGGCGGCGTGCTTGGATTGACTCGGGATTCCTTAAAACGGGCCGATACGGGTGTTTTATTTCGAGATTCGTATAATTTCGCGTTTTAATCTTCTATAAGGCACAATAGCACTATCCTATTCCACTTTAAACTAGATTTCACAAAATAATTGAAAGTCAAAATAAAAACGACACTTTTCCCTCCAAAAGGTCCAGAGCGAAACACTAATTTTGACCTGTAGCTGTCTGTCATAGATATAGTCCTCTCGAGTTATTAGTCCATAATGAAACACCAATCTATCATAGATTTAGTATATAGGTACCCACAATCTATCATAAACATAGAAAATTCATATTAAAATTCTACTAAAACAACACAATCGCTTAATAATAATTACTCTTACTAGTCTGAATGAAACGAATCGTCCCCAAAACTGTCAACCACCTGTCAACAAATGACAAACTTCGTCAACAAAAGCGTACTTTTAGGTACTTTTTTTGTCCAATTAATAGTGATAATGATAATATTCTACTAAAACCATGCCCGTCGAGTTAAATAGCCTCACAGAAGGATGGCTTGAACTTGAGAGCGATCCAGGTCTTTTCACATTGCTGTTAGAAGACTTCGGCGTTAAAGGTGTACAGGTTGAAGAAATTTACGATTTACACAAACCTTTAGAAAGCCCGGTTTATGGATTTATCTTTCTATTCCGATGGATAGAGGAAAGGAGGTCGCGGCGGAAATTCGTAGATGAGATTCAAAATTTCGTTCGAGATGAAGAGACCATAAATAACATATTTTTCGCGCAACAAATGGTCCCGAATAGTTGCGCTACTCATGCATTGCTGTCAATACTGTTAAACTGTCCCAATCTTCATTTGGGTGATACTTTAAGCAGGTTAAAGGTATGTAGTTATACCGCTTCCATCCTTAGATGATTCATGTAAATTAAGCAGATTTTTTCAAACCCTTTGTGTTGGACTTTGTTCTCAGCACCATACAGTGGGTATGAATCCAGAGAACAAAGGATGGGCCATAGGAAACACACCTGAGCTTGCTTGTGCTCATAATTCACATGCTATACCTCAAGCACGCAAGAAAACTGATAAAAATGCTGGAGTCTCCACGGGACGGTTCACAGGTAAAACAATGTTTTATTGGATATTGTTTTTCATTATAATCTTATAAGATAACCTGTTTAAATTGTCCTATTTGAATCTGTACATTATAATTTGAAATAAACATGGAATAGCACCACAAAATGTTTTAACAATTAAACATTTTGTTACAATATTTAAACTTAACGATTTTGAGTGTAATTTGCTCCTGGATGTTGACAGCTCCATTGGTTATGTGATAATCCACTAATGTTAGATATTGGTGATGTGTCACGCTGTCGCTGCCAAAGTACTTAAGAGGCGTTAAATCGGCATGGCAAAAAATTATTTTATTTTAATAAAGCATCAGCTTCTTTGTTATTTATGTACTAAATTTCAGTACATCTGAACTGAATTGTGGAGCTCAACATGCATTCTATTCATACCAGATTTAAATAAAATTATAAAGAGTATTTATTCTTGAATTATTAATGTTTTCAATTATTTTTTAATTAATACAGTGGTGGTCACATAATTAAAGACACCCTTGATGTTGACCACATACAACAAATTAAATGATATTTAGAGACCCAAGATAGGTATCAATTCCTTTTTAATAGTTATTTTACATACACTGACATCATATATTTTTTTAAATGAGAACAGTATCAAAGTTTAACTAAAAAGAGTTTACATAGTTCCTGTTTCAAATATCATTCAAACTTTTTCGATACATTAGCTGCTGGCCATGTAATTAAAGACAGTGCGTATTTCGTGTTCTAAACTTGAAATAAAAAATAAACAAGAGCACTGATTTTTTCTAATATTGAGCGAATTTTCGTGGTACGCAAAATCTCACTCAGCTTTAGCCGCGCTCTAAGTTTATTGTGAAATTTAAATTGAAATATTATGGGAAAAAGCAAAAGTTGCGATCCTTCCACAAGGAAGATAATTCTGATTTTTTATGAAAAAGGGTGGTCATATAGGAAATTGCAGAACACTTGCGATGCTCGAAAGATATGGTAATGAACGCTAGCTATATATTTTAAGAAATTTAACACTACGGAAAATGTGCCTAGGAAACCTAGACCGCGAAAAACAACCCAGCGAGAAGACACAAGAATAGAATTGTTGGCTAAAAAAGACCCTTTCAAAGGATCAGAAGTCATTCGCTTGGAAGTATTTGGTGCAGAGGAATCTAGAGGAGTGTCTACAAGAACGGTGAGAAGGCGATTATGTGAGGCAAACTTGTTTGGAAGAATTTCTCGGAAGGTACCCCTTTTGAAGAAAGAAAACATCAAAACCAGATTGCTGTTTGCCAAAAAATATGCACATTGGACAGAGCGACAGTGGAAAAATGTGCTTTTTTCTGACGAAACTAAAATAAATATGGTTAACTCTGATGGAAAAGTTTACGTGAGGCGTCCTTCAAAAAAAGAAATGGATCCAAAATACACAAAAAAAACTGTTAAACATGGAGGGGGTAATATCAAAGTTTGGGGATGTTTTTCTGGTCACGGTGTGGGACCTATTAAAAAAATAGAAGGTAACATGGATAAATTTCAATATAAAAATATTTTAGAAAACACCATGTTACCTTATGCCGAGGATCATTTGCCGGTGATATGGACTTTTCAACATGATAATGATCCCAAACACACTTCAGCAGTGGTCAAAGAATTTCTTAGAAGCCAATCAGTAACAGTTTTGGATTGGCCACCGTATAGTCCTGACATTAACCCGATCGAAAACTTGTGGTCCCGTGTGAAGAAAATGGTTGCAAAAAAACGTACAAGTAACGTGCATCAACTATACACGGCATTTAAAGAGGCATGGGAACAGATTTCGATTGAAACTTGCAATAATTTGATTGCTTCTATGCCGAGGCGGTGTCGGGCCGTCATTGCTGCTAAAGGACATGCGACAAAATATTAACAACGTGCTTTTATTTTCTTATTATACATCTGAAACTAATTTTATACTCAAATTCAAAAAAAAAAAAAAAAAAAAAAAAAAAAAAAAAAAAAATTTTTTTTTGCAGTTACATGATTTGTGTGTCTTTAATTAGTTGGCCAAGCTTTTGTATTAGTTTATAACGGTGTAATTAAAGAAACTTAATAAAAATTTAAAATACGACATCTTCGTTCTCTTTATTTCATTTCAAACATTTCACGATACCCGTTAGAATAATTTAAATAATATTGCAAGCTCCTATTGCATTATAATAAAAAAATATAGGATAAGTAAACTTTGAAAAAATAATATTCTCTAAGTGTCTTTAATTATGTGTCCACCACTGTATGTTTTTTATACACCTGAAAAGTATATGACATGCTAATTTTTCCACCATCAGTCGTAAAACCATCAGACACCACCGCTAATGATTTTACAATTGGCGCACATGTCTTGTAGATATATATAAGATACCTATGTGATGACAAAAGGGTTTAGAAAGTAAAAGATTGTGCTAACAAATTGACTTTTACATTGCACATTTATCAACTTATTCCAGGAGAAGCATACCACTTTGTAAGTTTAGTCCCCATCAATGGACATCTGTTTGAGCTGGATGGTCTGAAGCCATACCCTACAGACCATGGACCCTGGGCTGAAAGCGAGGACTGGACTGATAAATTCCGCAGAGTTATGGCCGAGAGGTTGGGAAGAGATGCTGGTGAACAAGTTCATGATATTAGGTGAGATACTTACTTAGAACCACAAAATTCATTTTAGACCCAATAGTGACAACTTGTGTATGACTTTTTTTTTTTTTTAAACTGCCTTTACACATTGAAAAAGTGACCAAGTCATATCATTCTTTTATGATAATATTATTATTGTAGCCTGATATTGTTAATACATTAACTTACATAAATCCAAATACTGCGCATAGGCAAACTCGTAATATTTATAGTTATACAATCAATTGATTGTAATTAGTTTATTACAAAATTTCCAGATTCAATTTAATGGCAGTTGTACCTGATAGAAGAATAGCATTAACACAGAAACTTAATGCTCTTGAACTCAACCAAAAGAGACTGAAGGAAGCCATCTCCAAAATTGGTAAACATCTGAGGCACATGCTGGCAAAAGCTAGAGAACAAGGTAAAGTTTTTTAACCCTTATTGATTCAGAACTATGCAAATGTCCTACCACGTTTATGAGGAAAGCATTAGTTTATGTTTTTCATTTAATGGAAGATTGATTCTTATTAGACTTCTCTTTAAGTAATTATTGAAGTAATATGAATTGAAGGGTATGTAAACTTGATTGGATGGAGTTTGTGAGTACCTACCAGACAGTTCTTAGTTGTTATACTTTTTATAATTATTAATACAAAGATTGAACTCGATCGATCTTTGTATTAATGATTATAACAAACTAGTGGAGTAATTTCACAAAAAATAATTGAATATCAATTCAATAAAAATTTAATTAATGTTATACTTTTATTCTTTTTTTTACACAACACATTCATAGCCCCGCACTAGGAAACCCTGTGTCGCGGGTGCCATGGACACACGCATAGACAACCACAAATTACACCCAAACCCCCGAGAGAAATAAATGTAGGCCATACATATATTTCTCCCGGCTTGGGAATCAAACCCAGGTCCTTTGCTTGGCAGTCCAGAATTGTAAGCATTTGGCCACGAAGACAGGCAATACTTAAGAAGTATACAGTAATTATATTTTATTTCACAGCGGAACTAGGAACAGCAGCATCGGAATCGAGCGATAATTCACTAAGTGATAACATAGTGCAGATAAGTGAAGAGACGATACTCACTGCTCTTGAATCGACGCAAGTACACATGTATGATGTAGAATATACAGAGCCGATTACTATCGAGATTGGTGCTGCCGATAGACCTCACCAGGATAACAGTCTTATACTTGGTAATTTATTATTTTTATTTATTTATTATCAGTAACAATATTAATTATTTATTTCTTTAAAAAGAACTACAGTAAAAAATGTATAGCCGGACTCATTATCCACAAGAACGAATTGGCAAGAAACCTGTTGCATTCATAAAACTCAACGGGGTTGAAACAATGACTCATCTTAAACCTGGATCGACACATATGAACACCACTACAAACCATGACAGGTCATGATGCTCGCAGGAGCAACTTCCTCCATCGCTACAAGAAAACCCATCTGATTATGGCTTTACAAGCTGATGACAGATTAAATAGTAAAAAAAAATTCTTTAAAAGGGTACATTAGTTATAATGGATCCAATGGAGTTGAAATCATGTTACTACATTCGTAAATAGTTTGCTCTAAGTCGCTGACTCTGAATTATAACTCATACTATATACAGGAGGAAATAGTACTTCTCTCTCAGCTAAAACAACCATTAATGCACTTGAAATATAACATAATTATAATCGTAGGTATGGGTCGTACCATATTTACGCAACCCACTATACTATAAACTGCCTCCGTGGCCGAACGGTTACCATGCCAGACTGCCACGCAGAGGTCCCAGGTTCGATTCCCGGGCCGGGAGAAATAGTTGTATGGCCTACAATTATTTCTCTCATGAGTTTGGGTGTAATTTGTGGTTGTCTATGTGTGTGTCCATGGCATCCGCGACACAGGGTTTCCCTAGTGCGGGGCTATGTTGAGTGTGTGCGTTATTATTATATACACCTCACACATCTTCAAAGAATTATATGAACTTTATGTGGCAAGTTTCATGACGAAAATTGATTCTGTATACTTGTATTTAATATTTAGAAGTTGAAATTTGACTGACAAAGACATTGATTGATTGACAACAGGCACAGAAAAATTCGTGAGGTATGCTGGTTAGTTCCATGTCTTAGTTGGCATAGCGTCTGCCACGGTTTGCTAGAATACCTCAGTACGAATGCGGCCGGTTCGAAGTAATGTTTTCTAAGTGTTTGATCTTTGTATTAATAATTATAACAAACTAGTGGTGATTACACAAAAAAAAACATTCAATAAAAATGTAATTACAGTTATGTCGCTATCTCTAGCCACGGCTGATAGCTGTAAAGGAACCTAACTGGGTGACGAAATATTTTCAAGGACATTGATGTCAAAAGTCAAAAATACCACCACCATCATTTTAGAACTCTGAAGTAATCTGTGACTTTTACTTTTATTCATTGTCACGTAATATGGTATTTAAGTAACGCATGTATGTTTACAAGAGGTAGTCGTTTTTAGAAGACAACTAAAAATTTATAAACCAATCTTAATTGACTACTTTCTTAATAGACTAAAATAACTCCCATGACTGATTTAACATTGGTAAAATTGAATTCTTAGGTTTTCGCGATTGTTACACATAGGAAATGAAACTATTTTTCCGGATTTAAATCGCATGTTTGTTGAATGCGTGCTTTAATATTAGACATAACTGGTTGAGGACTGTACCACCTCAGTCAACCGTGACCATGGGACCTGTAAAGGACCCGATACGTTGGTTTGTTTGAAAAAACAAATATACGCGGTTTAAATCCGGAAAAATAGTTTCTTTTCCTATTGGCAAAATTCTTTAATGGAAGCCAGAAACTTAAATATAGAATAGAACTATGTCGAGTTGCGGATAAAAATCTGTTACACCATACCATACCCACTATACAGGGTGTTATTTTAAAGTGCTAAATACCTTGCAGGGCTAGATTACTAACATCATTTATAATACATAAACTTTTTTTGTACTTTCTGATACTTTTTAGATCTCTCTTTTACCAAATAAGGAAGGTAGTAAGTTAAACGTGCAAGCCTCCTCTTCGACGACACCCGCGTTTCGCACAGAGCTATCACTGCACGGTGATTCACGCTCCATACTAAGGCGGTCATAAATACGTAACTCCGAAATTATTATTATTTTTTTATTTTATTACGTTAAAATATGATTAGGTAAACGTAAATTAATAAAATTATACATTTTAAAAAATATTTGACAATATTTAGGTGTAAAAATGTCTCTGTAATGTGTAATTTTGTTTTTAGACGATGTATCTAAAACATTTTATACTGCGACTTTTAATGGTAAAACTGTGTAAATAATGATTATTTGTATTAACAATAACCACAAATGAATAAATTAAAACAATAAAAATACATAAAAAAGTTCATTTTACAAAATACAAACAAAACACAAATTATACCAAAATACATTAAATCTCAACAATATTAACTTTAAATACATAACAAGTCTAATACAGCTTTTGACAGTACACCTTTTTTTTTAACAGGTAACTTTCGTAGACCTGTTATGAAGGGATCTGAATGAAGAAGCAGCCTATTTACTAAATCTGTGTTGGTCACAATGCGACTCATTTTACGCGTATGATTTTTTCTAAAAGACTTGATGTATTTGTTAGTCGCTTCAGCTGCTTCTTCAGACAACTCTCCGATTGACAACAAACCGTAATCTATAACATTAGCACCATGAATTAGAACTTTGTGAACGGAAGCAGGCATGTTATACCACGGATACTCGGCAACTAACTGCCGAGCCGTCTCTAAAGCGAACTCTTCGAAGTTCGTCTTATTAATATTATATCCCGAATTTAAACATTGAAGGATGATCCAGCAACGATCTAGGAGATCCTTCTTGATCCCAGTAATTTCAGCGGAAATTTCTGAATTCGAGAAAAACCGCCTGGCTGTATTACCATCGTTTGATGTTCCGCTTCCGCCACTTTTAGGCTTATCCACTATAAGCCCTAATCTTTCTCTAAATTGAGTCTGAACATATGATTTTTTTGCAGCAACAAGCATTTTGTCATTAGCGGACCTAGCTTGCCATTTCCTAACATCTAACTTGTACGCGACATGAACAAAATATTCAAAAAAACGTATTAACGCGTGAAGAGGTGATAAACCAAATTCATATTTACTCTCATCGACTTCCTTATTTAAACATTCGTCAATTTTGTTCATTTCACTGGGCAAGGCGTTACAAATAAAACATTTTGATGAAGAAACACCACTAAGTGCATTACACACTTTACCATCTACCATAGTAAGTTGCAAACAATGAGTAATGCGATATTCGCGATCTTCTTCCTTGAAAACAGTAGGCTGCAAGTTCCTTATTTTATCTTTAAAATGAGCTTCTTCCTCAACTGACACTGCAGTCGATTCCTTCAAATATCGGAGGCGTATAGGACGACAGTATCGAGTTGATGAAGGACGAGGATTTTTCCACAAAACTACTGAATTTTCTTTGTTATCTGTTGTCAAAACAAGCTGAAGTGGCACATACGAAGTAACAAACAGGCTACTGTCTTCAAGAGTGGAGTCAGAAAAACACTGTTTATATTCTGAATGCCCTGTACTGCCATCGAAACCCCATTTCCCTATCAAAGATATCTTATCTAGAGACTCATTAGGTACACTATCCAAAACATCTTTTTGAGACTTGAGAATCCGATTGGCAGTATGATCTAATAAACTTTGAAGTTCGACTTCGGCGGATGATTCTGTAACAGTAATATCTGAAGGATAACAGTGTTTTTTAGATTCCACGACACTTTGGTAAGATGGGAAAATGGTTTTTGAAAACTTATTGTCTATAAATTTCTTTACTAATATATATTGATGTCGAGTTAACTGAGCTTCAACAATGAGCGATAAAACTTCGCTAGAATCGATTTCAGGACAAGACAAGCTATCGGACGCATTGAGCAATGACTGTACAAGAGAAGGGTCTTGGTTAGACAAACTAGCCAATCTTCTCCTTTTTGTACGTTTACTGGTGTCGTCAAAGTTAATTCTCGGACGGCCATGCGATGAAGAAGTTGATGGTTTAACTTCGTCAAAGCTCTGAGATACACGTAACTCAGTTCGCTGTACATCAATATTTTCAACGACATGCAGCCAATCTGAATATTTTTCTAAGAATTTAGATCTAGTACGATTCGACTTTGCCCAGTAGTGGGAAATTCGTTTACAAATATTCTTAATTTTAAGGCTTAAAGTCTCTAAATCAATATTTTCGATGTCGTCAGAAAGGGATGATGTTTCGGTCAAAGTGCTCAGGACGTGTTGCATTTTTTCATTTGGATTACCCACTTTAGAGTGCCAAATATCAAAAATTGTCATCCTCGATACAGAACATTTGAAAAATGTACCTAAAACAATATGAAAGCTGAACTTAAAAAAAAATTAAAAATTCAATACTATGGACATGCATACTTTGACACCCCTTTAAGCCAAGAAGAGGCAGCAAGATGCAAATGAAACTTATAGCTCTTAATAAGGACATACTCCTTATTCAAAAACCATATACCTCAGGTGCAGCTCAGCGCAGCCAAAAGTTGTAGGTCTAAAGGAAATTAAGTTATGCCAAAAATTTTCACCAAAAAACTGCCTTCAATAAAAAAATTATATAAAAAAAATATGCATAAAAAAAATTAAAAAAAATTGATAATAAAAGTACATACCATGCTCTTGGATCTCCATGCTTTCACAACACGTAAACACTTGATTTGGAATAGTGACACTCAAAAACAAAGTGATTAAGTTTCAATGACTCACACGTGGTGATAATTAGTCTCGCGATGCGCTCACTTCCGATGCACAAAAGTGAATGATAACGTGACCTAATTACATTGATATGTATAGTTTTTGGAAGCTTGTTAACTAGTTACTAACTTAGTGAGTTGATCTAACCGGGATAAGCCAATGATTTTTTTTGATTTATGGCCTATGGGGGAATCACAGTGCACTGTTTAGAGCGATCTATTTAATAATAATAATAAATAAATCATTTATTTGGCATTCAAGGCCCACTTGTTAGTAAAATACAGACATTTTTAAACTTATGACTATTGTTAGTAAACACAGAGACAAAACATAAAAACACACATTATTACGCTCGAGGCACCGCTGATTACCCCACCACCTCACCAGAACCTGGACGAACTGACGAATCGACCTTAGCCGCAAACGTTTTCAGGATGCTGTTAGGACTAGAACTCTCTAGACTGCTAGAGAGTAGATTTAAATACGTTTCTTTTTGTATGAAAGTGAAATCTGAAAGATTAAAACTCATGGAACAAAAGTTGTTTTTTATGATGTTAGTAATACAACCTGCGAGGTTGTTACTATTTTACAAATAACACTGTGTATGTATCTAAATTTTTGTTTTTATTTTCAGTTGATCCTATCGAACAAGGAACGTCAGTAAAATTCATCACAATAAACAGGGACAACCAAATTATAGGCGAGGTAAGATTTTTGGAGACGCAATCGATTATGCTTATGATTTAGATATCTCGGTTTGCCAAGCCGTTGCATTGCGGACGCTAAATGAGGATGGTCGATTCTCTAAAGGACAAAGTCAAAAAATTATTTATTCCGTAGGTAAAATAAATTTACACTTGAAAACGTCACATTTAAGCTACTGCTCGTTCACTACGCTGACTTCCCTGAGAAGAACGAGCAAGAAACTTTAGGGATTGCTCTTTTCAAATAAACTTAAATGCTATGGAATACACTTTGACTCAAATTAGTGTGGAATCTAGAGCCATGTCGTCTTTCCCTACATCTTTATCTAACACGTAGTCTTCAATTTTGTAATATGACTTTTCAATCAAAATATTTTTGATGTAGTTATTAAACTTAGGAAATTATAATCTTAATATATGCTCCGGAATCTTATTGTAAAAACGTATACAGTTCCCCATAACAGTCGTTTACCTTACGAAATCGTGGTACCATGAGTTTGGACAATTCTATATTACAACAAACTAATCCGAGTGTTCTGGGTAGTGGTCCCGGAGCTCACATAACCGTCTACCTGAAAGCAAGGCTAAGGTTCAGAGTAAATTTATCAAAACTACATTTCAACCTAGCTCTTGCAACGCAAAGGATGACTGATTTCACTAATTTCAGGGATCTTACCACGGTATGACTTCTTTTTATTTTCCCGATATTTCGGAACGGTTGCACGCTCCATAGTCACGGGTTGACTGGACGGCGGCAGATGACAGCTTTAATAGCAGACATATCTGTCGACCCTCTTGCGCTGTTGTGGCGTTACCATTGTCACTCACTTTTTTCACACAAACCACACTCACTGTATCCACACGCGGAACTGAACTCGAGGTGTTTTGTTTTTATTACTGCACGCATTAAGGACCGGATGTCATGCACTGGACAGTTTAAAACCATCATCACGGTTAAATGTTTTGTACTTCGTGATCTTGATGGCTTCTCGTACCAACCGTGTTATGTAGTGACGTTCTGTCGAAAGTACATGGGGGCTATGCAACTCGATCCAGTGGCTAGTGTCAGTCTGTGTGAGAGGTTATGCTATAGCCGACTTCTGTGCATCATTGTTTTTTACCGCTCGTATGTGTTCCTTCATACGACCTACAATTGTTCGTTTAGTCTGACCGATATACGAGCTCCAACAACTGCAGTTCACTTTATAGACACCCGGTGTTTGTAAAGGAAGGTGGTCTTTTGGTGAACGTAATATTTTTCCTATTTTGGTGAAGGGGGTGAAAACAGTTTTTATGGAAAAAATCCTTAGCAACCTGGCTATTTTGTCTGTCACCCCTGGTACATAATAGTTTCGCGTGTGGATACAGTGAGTGTGGTTTGTGTGAAAAAAGTGAGTGACAATGGTAACGCCACAACAAATCGCGATGAAGGTAATCGTCGACAGCGCAAGAGGATAGACAGATATGTCTGCCTTAAAGCTGTCATCTGCCGCCATCCAGTCATCCCGTGACCATGGAGCGCGCAACCGTTCCGAAATATCGGGAAAATAAAAAGAAGTCATACCGTGGTAAGAAACCTGAAATTAGTGATAATCATTTAGAGAATAACCACGAAAGTCTTATAATCTATATAGCAAAAAATAACTTTCGTAAAATAAATAGTTTTGTTTTTTACCGTCAAGTTTATACTACTTTTCGTTAGGCTCTAGGGACGAACCAGTTATGGTTGGTCCCCGACTTTATTTAGTTATTCTGGTAACCCATAACCGCTTACAATATTGTGTATTTTACAATAAAGTGTAAATAAATAAATAGTGAATTAATTATTAATAAAAAGATCAAACCATGGGACCTGTAAAGGGCCCGAAACGTCGGTTTGTTTGAAAAAACAAATATACGCGATTTAAATCCGGAAAAATAGTTTCATTTCCTAAAAAGATCAAACACTAAGACAAAATTCCTTCGATCCGGCTGAATTCGATCTTTGTTTTAATAATAATTATTGACCACCGAGATATTTAATTATTTTTGTAAAATTACTCCACTATTCATTGAAATTTTATGTAAAATAATTCCATTAGTTGAGTAATTATTTATACTAGATGTTATTCAACGTTTCCAGAATAAAGTACTTAGGAATATTGTGAATGCCCCTTCGTACGTACGAAACGAAGACCTCCAACGAGACTTGGAAATGGAGTTCGTAGACAAGATAGTACAGAAATACGCCGAAGCCCACCAACGCAGGCTTCACCATCATGTGAACGTCGAGGCCATTCAACTCCTTGACAACACAAATATCATAAGACGATTAAAACGGACAAAACCATATGAACTAGTGTAGTGTTAATGTAAGATTAAATTAATTAGTGCCAGTGACACTGAACAAAAAGATTACATGATAAAAGTGTCTTCGCAATCGAATTCTTAGTATAATTTGTTTATGTATTAGATTAACTGAAATGGAAATTACTTATTAGTCTTGTATTTGGCTGGATTGTAATGTATTTATGATGTACTTTGTTGGTGCCTTATAAATAAATGGAAAAAAAGTTGAGTATTCTAAATACAACGGGCTCGGTAATTGGACCCGTGGCTCAGATGGTTAGAGCAATGCTACGGTGCAGCGTGGTCGTGGGTTCAAGTCCCACCATGTCGACGAAATTTTTCGTGTGTTTTCGATAATTGTATTCATAATCATTACTCCACTAGTTTGTAATAATAATTATTTCATACAAATTAAGGGAATAATTTCACGAAAGTAATTAAATATCATGGTGGTCAAACATTCAATAAACTTACAAAAATATTGTAATGTTGTGTAATTTTAAAGAACCAATATTTTCTTCTAGCAACACAATCATTTACATAGTTAATAAAAAATATACCGTCCATACCTTATTGATTAGATTGCACTTGTACCGTTAGGCAGTGCCAGTAATGGTACTGATTTATCCTGTTGATACACTGACACAATATGCCACTTCTAAGCCCGAGTACACTTTTAACAGTACATAACTTTACACAAAGCTCATTATCTTATACTCTAATTATTCTTTTCTCCTATTCTTACCTGTTTTAATTTTTATTTGTTGTTATTATTATTATTTTTGATATCTGTTTTAGGCTAGTATTATTATTCTTTTTGTCATTTGTGTATGTGCAATATGTGTATTTAAATATATATTTTATTGCGCCCTCAATTAATCTTATAGTTTTTCCTGTAACCCAAAGTTCTCCTGGAAGAGATTGAGAGATTTTTTTGTATTATTTTTAGTATAAGAATAATAAAATCGTTTATTTATCTCAACACATTAATCAGTAAAAATAAATATAAACTGTACACAGTGTTTAGTAACAACAGTGGTGTGAGATAAAAAAGGCTGTAGCTCAGCACAATGACGGTGTGTTTCACAACGCCCCTGATATTCTGCTACAGCCAAGAACTAACACACATTATCATTCCAGTTCTAAGATTTCAAGCCAATTATTAGATACTTACCACACACATGAATCGTTATATAGATTTTTTAGTTACTATTACGCACTATCCACACACAACTACACTACAATGCCTACCTCCAAGGTTTGCTGGACAATAACCAATTATGTATTTGTCCCAGTGTGCAATAAATAATATTTGTATTGTACTATTATCAATATTCAATTACCTAACTAAACTATTTCCGTCCAGCTATACCCAACGTCAACAACAGCGCTAGTAAAGAGCAACGATCTGCCAGTACTAGCATGCAGTGAAAACGAGCCAGAGCAGCCTTTCAAACTGCGAAAGCTGCTATTCACTCACACAGAGCTAAATGCTTTGATGAGCAGCATCGTCAGCGAAGTGCAATCGTGCCAGCAGGCTTTGAATGACGAGAATGACAAAAGAGATATGTATAAGGTAAGTTTATGTAAGTTTTAACTGCCTCTGTGGCCTAACCATGCCAGACTGCCACGCAAAGGTCCCAGATTCGATTCCCGGGCCAGGAGAAATATTTATTATGTAGACAATACTACATTTATTTCTCTCGTGAATTTGGGTGTCATTTGTGGTTGTCTATGTGTGTGTGTCCATGGCACCCGCGACACAGGGTTTCCCTAGTGCGGGGCTATGTTGAGTGTGTGCGTTATTATTATTATGTACCAATTATCTTGTCTCAAATAATGGAACTCCGTGTACTAGAGCAAAGAAACACTTTAAAATACGCAAAATAGGCGCTTTGTCGTTGAGTTGCGGATACCAGCCCGTTGCACCAAGTACCAATACAGCGTTTCGCATTACTACGTTACGGTTTTGAAGGGTCAGGGTGCTGGTGAAATTACAGGCACGTGAGTGAGACCTGTCTCAGGGTGACGGGCGCAATGGCAGAGCCCCTCAGATCTTTGTGATTTAAAGCTGGAAGTGGCACTGCAACTGTTATGGACAGGAGTGTCGCTTACCACCAGGCGCACGACTTCCTCCCGTTACTTGGTATCATAAAAAAAAATTCGGATACTGATGCTAATGAGCAGTTGGCTTAGAGCAGCGGACAGAAAAGGATTTATATACTAACTTAGCCGACCTTGTAAGTGCTTTTTTGAAAGTAATACAAACATTTCCAAGCATGTTTGACTAAAATTTATTTTGTTGTTCAGGTGGACGATTGTCGACGTACGCATAACTACGACGAGTTTATCTGCACGTTTCTGTCGATGCTCGCGGAACGAGGTGCGCTGGCCGAGCTGGTGGCCGCGCAGCTCGAGCGTGGCAGAAGCCCACGCGTCAGACGCCGTAGACCGAGACCCCGGCCCCGCGCTAGACCCCGCCCCAGACCACGGGCCAGGAAATGAGAATCGATAAGCGCGCACACCTCGACTTTGTTGTGACAGGTGCCTGAGTGCGCGCAGTGGTCTAAGGACTAGTAGAAAAAAGTAACTGAAATAACGCAAGCACAACTGGCTCGATTATACGATTGTGACTGCCGGTAAAAAATAGCTTGTTCTCGTGCTGTTAAAAACCAAAAGAAATAATATAGATATAAAGCTTGCAACGAGTATCGTCGTTCACGGCTCTGAATATGTTTGATAACTTAGTGATTTCGATTATGTGACTCCGTCTAGCTATAGGAATATGGAAGTTCGCCATTTTATACAGAGCTGTATCACGCTCGCAATTTCAAAGTGGCGTTTGTCGTATTTTAAAATGACTTATTTTATACTACATACTATTTATTTTCTCTTCTCTTTCAAGCAATTATTTATTAAACTATTTGGTTGTTTGAAGATTGTTCGCTTTAGGGATGAACCCCACTTACCAGTTAACATCAGTGCATTTATAGGGCATGAAGCGTGCTGACGATGTCCCATAGTAAAATACACTTTTAGTACAGTACTTATACCTGCTGACAATGTCTCATATTAAAATACACTTTTAGTACAGTACTTATGCCTGCTGTCATGTGGGGTTCTACCCTTACAACGTTTAGCACTCATGTGTTTTAAATATTGTGCGTGATCTGTCTACTAGTTATTTATTGTGCATATTTTATGAACCCCCTTCTGATTTACTGTCTAACTAATATTATTGTTAATTGAAGTAATTATTTTCATATACACATAAAAAGGTAGATTGGTAATTTTCAGATTACTTTTCTCTACCTGACTTCGGTGGCAATTTTTATTATTTAAGTATAATTATAATAGTGAAAACATATTAAATAAAATATGTGAGTGAAGAAATAGATTTCTCACAGATGTCGTTAAAACCCAACCCTAATATCTGCCACAAGCACATAGAAAAATTCATAAGATCCGCTGGTTCGTTCCGTGGCTTAGTTGGCATAGTGTCTAGCACGGTTTGCTAGAAGACGCTGGTTCGAATCCAGTAAGATCGAAGGAATTTTTGTAAGTATTCTCTTTGTATATAGAGGTCCCAGGTTCGATTCCCGGGCCGGGAGAAATATTTGTATAGCCTACATTTATTTCTCTCGTGAGTTTGGGTGTAATTTGTGGTTGTCTATATGTGTGTCCATGGCACTCGCGACACAGGGTTTCCCTAGTGCGGGGCTATGTCGAGTGTCGAGTGTGTGCGTTTGTATTAATAATTATAACAAACTAGTGAAGTAATTTCGTTAACAATAATTGAATATCATGGTGGTGTAACATCTAACATTCAATAAACTTGAACACTTGCAAATTAAATAATACTTCCTGGTAATATTCTAGATTATTTAAATAATAAAACAATGTTTATTTTTATTTACCTAATTTCGTTGGCAATCCTCCGAAATTAGGTAGAGAAAATTAATCTGAAAATTACCCTGATATACGATTAGGAATAGTCGCTTTTTAAATCCGAGTAAGATCGCTCGCTAAAGCTCAGAGAATTATATTTTAGTCTGCGGCTGTACGCAACAATCGCCAGTCTTTTCCCAAACAACATTGTTACCTTTCGCATAAGGCTCAAATTACATTGCCGCTGAAAGGAAAGGAAGCTACTTTTTGTAACCATAGCATGATGAACTTTATTTCAATTGTGTATCGTACTAACTATAGATACGAGTCGCGTAGTCTCAGGAATTTCCTACTTACTGTCTTGGAGCTTCTACTGTATCGTATCTAGTTTTTACCAGTGTTGTTGCTGATGGAAGTGTTTTACATATCAGCGGATGTTGATTTATATTATCAACTTATGTCTCAAGGTGACGGGCGCATTGGCAGTGCCCCTCAGATCTTTGCGATTTAAAGCTCTGTGTGTCACTGCAACTGTTATGGACAGGCGTGTAGCTTAGCATCAGGCGCACGACTTGTTCGTCCCATCACTTGATATTATAAAAAAAATAAAAGCCTTTTTAATCATATTCTGACATTTATTAACAATAAATCACCTTGCATAAAATCAATGAACCTGCCTAGCTTAATCATCAAAGGCAAGAACGACGACTGAACTGACTGCTTTTTCGGCTTTCAGTCTGTTTCTGGATGGTTTTGTAAATTATTCCAGTGTGCCGTCATCCCCGCCCCTGTCGTGTCAGGACGTGAATATCCGCATTGAAAATCAGCATTAACTAACGCGGAGGCTGATGCGGATGCGGATATTTGGACCCCTCCTACGTAAAGTATTGTATGTCGAATTTGCCAAGTTTACAGAGGAGCCTTTTAAAGTTCTGAATTCACTGATAAGCATAACACGTGACTAGCATTTCTCAGTTTTATTCGGTAAAGCGCAATTGTCCCGGTCCGCAGCAGTTTAAAATGAACCTCAGTATACTGTAACTAATGTATGGCTTTTTGGTACTACAAACTTATTATTATGGCGTATCATAATAATAAATTTGTAGTACCTCGTGAGAAACACGATTAGTGGAGAAAGTTCACTTTGGAAATCTGAGTATGACCGTTCATCTTATGCACTTTATTTAAAGAAAGGTATCAAATTTATCAATGCTGAATCGACTTGAGCCGGACAGATAGTGTTTTTTAGAAAAAAACATGCAATAAGAGCGAAAAGGATGTGCGTTTCCCTTCAGCTTTCCGGGTCGAAGCGGAACACACGTCTTTTTAACAACTGTTGTTGTTAATATAGTGATTAAGAATATCATGACAATAAGAATATCATGATAATAAGAATATCATGATATTAATTCATTTTTGTGAAATTGCTTCACTTATTGTCTAATAAATTAACTCATAAACAACGTGATCAAACTGACTACACTAGTTTGTTATAATTATTACTACAAACAAAAGAAAGAAAAATTCCTTTGATCTGACAAGACTCGAACCTGTGTCTGTATGCCAATCTAGGGCAACCGCTCTACTAACTAAGATAACACAAGGTGCGAACACAAAGGAAAAATCTTTGGATCTGACAAGACTTGAACCTGTGTCTGTATGCCAATCTAGGGCAATCGCTTACAAACTCGCAAGCGCTCGCAACCGCTCCCAACTTACTAAATACCCACCGTACCACCAGCGATTCGCATAGTGGTTATTTTCTCTTATTGAACGGAAGTAAAACTTTCTCTATCCGGCTGAAGCAGATTCTCCGCATCGACAAGTGTGATGTCTGTCACAAAGTCAGGTATGTGCTGCAGTTAGTGAGGAGAAGGATGGTATTATGGCGCGTTTACACCAACAGGTCGACAAGTCGCCTTCGCTTTCCAGGCAGCTTATCCATTGTAAGCACTGAATCGTTTGACGACCACAGTTCTCTACCGAAGTCGACTAGGTGTAACCACAGTCGTGCGGCTCGGTGACTTTCAACGGTAGCGACGATAGACCAAACAAGTTTGGGCGTGTCAGCGGCCACGTCCAACCACGACACACGTGCTGAGAGCCGAAGAATACCCACTTTAGTTTTTTGAACGTTTCAAACGATTTGTTGTGCCTCTGTGCATTAACTTATGATTTCGACGTATGCGGCAGTCGACTCGGCGTAAACAGCAAGACGACTGCGTGTCCTTCGGTTAGGCTACATAGTCTACCATGAAGACTATAGTCGACCCCATATAAACACGCCATTAGAACTACAATAAGTAGAGTACTAGGGTACTAATATTTTTCGTCGCTCCTAAGTGTATTTTTAAATAAAACAAATGAGATTTTTTAAAAACGAATTTTTATTAGTATACTACGAACAGCGCCGTATTTACATGGTCGTCATATTGTTAGAGAAATGTAACAATAACAAATTCAATGTTGTTTGCTTAGGCACATACTTTATTAACTTGAAATTTCATCAAAAACAGTTTAGCAAACAACAGTAGCAACATTGGCTATTTTAATAAAACAAACAAACTTGCAAATGACTATGATTAAGACAAATTTCTTTTTTTCGTATTATACCCAAAGGTACTCTGTTACAAAATTACACGAAGTAACAATTACATCGAAAAAAAAAAAAAACAATCGATCTGAAAAACAACATGCAAAAAAGATAATGTCTTCGATGCCATTTGCAAGTTATATTTTACACAGACAGCTGTGCATAACGAAATATTGATCTATGGTAAAAACTTTAACAATTGTTAATTCGGTATCCATTGCATATAATTTGTTCACTTGGCGCTACTGACAAATGTTAACTTATGACATTAATGGTAAGGCATTTTTTATTGCAATTTTTTTTGTTCAACGAAGTAACGTTCATGTTCTATACAATAACATTCGTAACAAGCTATAATTCATTAGCTTTATAGAACACAACCGGCACTTAAATTTAACGACAGTACAATCTATACACGGTACAAAACAGCACTAAAATTGTGATGTGTAGCTTCCTTCCACTGTTAAAACCATAACACGATGATACAACTTTCTATATCACAGACTAACAGAAATATTATAAAAAGGACTTAATTCACTACTCATTATGGCACTAATCACACTAACACCGAAAAACTAAGATCGAAGGCAGTGTTTCTGCAACGGGCACCTGCGGCTCCATACATGCGTTTGGACATACCGACCAGTTATAAACGAGCTATTCTTCTGTTACATTTCAATCACAATATAACCTTTATTCTACGACTATTAGGTATTTCAACATTATGTATACTCCCGCACTAATTAAAAACGAAATAATACTCGACTATAACAATTCATAAAATCATATACATCTACGAAGGACAAATTGGCAGTAGCACCAGTACCATAACTTAGCGACAGTGTTAGGCAAAATTTAATTGTAACTACAAAATATAAAAAAGTAGTTTGTAGTAAACTACATTTAGCCCAACACTGCCGTCGAGCATGTAGGCCTATCCACAAACTACTAATTAGTTTATTTACTTAGTAGTTCAATAGAAAAGTATTGACTACCTTCGCAACGCAAACGTTTAACGGTGGTTTGTAGTTTCTGTTAAATTTCGCCTCAACACTGCTTAGCAACGAGCACACGGCCTTAGGTTCACAACCAAAACTTATTGCTATTATCACTACGTGAATTGCACTACTATGGGCTTATAACAGTGGGTTCCCATTGGAAGCATCAAATTATACCTACATCTGCGTGAATTGAGCGAAGTACGGAAATAACATGTAAGTAGACTATTGCACTCAGCGATAATTTATAAAATAATTTCTTAATTATTTGATCAAAATAATATCCGCAGAATTAGACTAACAAAAAAATCCTACATTAAACCTTAGCACACTACCAACTACGGCATACATTCATAGAATAAGGAACAATATCATCAATCAATAGTTATAAAGTAACGATGGTTAGAATAAATGTCCAATAGTAGCGGAAGGTGTGCGGTGAGGCGATATCACTACACAGAGTCCTTGCAACCGGCCGCGGCGAGCGATTCCACACTGCGCTTTCAACTCTTCACTTGCTGCTTTGGTTCCTTACCCCCTTCCTGCTCTTTGTCGCCTTTGCCCATCTCCGTCAGCACGGAAATAGGCAAGTCTTTCAAATCTGTTTTTTCAAACTGTAATTTGAATTGTTCGATATTCTGCGGGTTGGACAAGTTTGTCATCTCTCTTTTGTCTACCTCTGCTTTCAATTGCTCTATGTCATCCAGTGTGGGCAAGTCTTTAAAATCTCTTTTTTCTAACTCTGCTTTGAAGTGTTCTATGTCTTGTGGGATGGGTAAGTCTTTCAATGCTTTTAACTGATCCATATCTTGCGGGCCGGGTAAGTGTTTCAATGCTTTGAACTGTTCCATTTCTTGCGGGATTGGTAAGTCTTTTAACTGTCTTTTTTCTATCTCTGCTTTGAATTGCTCGATATCTTGGGGACTGAAAATACAAAAAAGGTTCGTTATAGAATTTCTATCAGCAAACAAAGACGATCCATGTGGTGAAATGTGATAACTGCCGCTTATACATTGGGATTTTTATAGTTCATTTCACATAGCATGATTCCGGTGATGTTTGTGATTTTAAGTATCTAAAAGATGAGATGATGTAAAATCGAATGAAAAAAATCGTTTTAAATATCTTATCGACATAATTTATTTGAATCGATTTGCAGAAAATAATTTAAGAACATATAATAAACAAAATTAAATCAACAACAACGAAACAAAAGTCAACAACAAAGCAGAAAAATCAACTACAACGACACGAAATTTAATAAATTACTCTAAAACATCACGCAAAGCTCAAAACAAAAAAAAAACGACCGGCTTAAAAGGCGTATGCATTCGTACTGACGCGAGATACGCAATAGCCAATTCCATTTATCGATTTCATGGCGTATATACAATATTCAGTTTTACGCATCAAGTAATTGGGGTAATTTATTTTAATCTTATCATTTCGTTTTCTTTCTACTTAATGTACTGCAATTTTTATTTAAAATCACAACTGCAACAAATATTGTTTGTCTTTGGTATATTGTGAAAACTTTGTTATTATTTATTACATTTAATTTATAAAAGATAGTGAACTTTTTTGAAAAAATAATGTTGCCACGTATATTGCAATTAACTAACTCACTGAAACACAATCAGTGACAAAGAAACATGCGATATTTTGACTATTAATTTGCCAAATAACATTTCATTTACATTAAGTCTCTACAGAGTTGTACCATTATCCTATTATTCTCGAATTTTTCGAAAAATAATTTAAATTTACCTCGGTGACCTGCTGAGTCACGGCAAACAATTCTTTAGGACAACACTATTACGATTTCATCAAAAACTGGCAACCCACTAAACGTCAGATTATTATCTTTAATTAAAAAACCGAATAAAGATAAATGTCTCGCGTCTCTTCAGATCAGTCGTAACGCAAATGCGAGCACGATGTTGCTACGACATTGCTATGCATGTCTAAGGACACCGTGGTATAGTAGCCGTCAGTGTGCGATTGCGTGTAGGAATGTCGAAGGATCCCTTGCCTTGCCGTCCAAAAGAGAGTCAGACCATAGACAGCACGGGCAATAATTTCAAACGTTTAGTTGTACCATTTCAAGAGCAGAGGTGGTAGGACTCACCTGATCTGCACAAAGAGTATGCCATTAATGAGATTGAGCATGTCGATGACGGAGGCCATTCCGGGCGGCTGGATGTGCAGAGGAGGCGGCTGTGGCGCAGTGTGCGGCGCGCGCGCATACGCTTCGGTCAATCGCTTCTGCAGCACAACGGCCTGCTGCGTCAGGTGCCGCAAGCATTCTGATGACTCGCGTGTCTTGTCGTGTTTTTCGCCCAGCTACGGAATAATGCAATCGTCAAAATTTTTCAACATTTCATCGGTAAGTAGACGGTTTATTAAATTAACTTTATTAATAGTTAAATGGATACAAAATAATATTATTTATAGGAAATGAAACTATTTATCCGGATTTAACCGCGTATGAGGTACTGTAAAGGGCCCGAAACATAGGTTTTGTTTGAAAAAATAAATAACGCGTAACAATCGCGAAAATCTAAGAACTCAAAATATTATTTATTTTATTTCTCTATGGTTTCTGCCTACCGGGAAAGGAAATTATCTATGGTCTAAGTTACATAAAGATGAGTATACAACTGTCATCAAAAAATTTCCAGATAAAGTACACAAGGAATAAAGTTACAAGTTTGAACTGTTTAAAAAAGAAACTCTATATTCTTCTCTATTAATTGGAATGGATGGATTATGATCAAATAAAAAAAGTTACTTTTAGTACATTTCAACTACGATGAAATGTTAATCGTACAAGTCGATAAATTTACCTGTTGTTTATAAATAGAATAGGTCTCCTTCTCATGCTGCAACGCAGCTCTAAAGTCTCCTAAACATGAGAGCGTCCGAGCTAACAAATGACGAGCGACGGCCGCCTTCAATGAACGAGGTCCATGGGAAGAACTAGTCACCGCGAGGGCTGTCTCGGCGAAGCGAAGAGAGAGTTCATATTCGCCTACTGCGTGGAGGATAAGTGCGATGTTGCTCTGTAATAAAAAAAAAAAATATATTTTCACTACTGATTGTAATGAATATTATGATGTTTTAAGACCATGATTTTTTTTAAATTTCTCCATTAGAATTTATAATTATTAATACAAGGATCGAACACGAAGAAAAATTCCTTCGATTTGACAGACAACAACTTTGTAACCGACTTCAAAAAAAGGAGGAGGTTCTCAATTCGGTTGTATTTTTGTGCGTATCTTACGCGATTACTCCGACATTATGCACCCCTCACGGAAGAATAGCAGAAGTGGAGTTACGTCAAAGATGTTTATTGTTATATACTCCATTAGATACAGAAAACTATAACCCACATCCTCTCTAATTCTCGTAAATCTATCGACTAATATTGTAGATAGTCACAAGAATTGGAGAGGATTTGGGTTATATTTTTCTGTATTTAATGGAAGCAATAAACATGTTTGACGTAACTCCACTTATGCCATTCCTCCATGAGGGGTGCGATTTACAAACCGATGTCATGATTCTTTTTTGTGGGAAAGGAGGTACCTCAGTAGTATTGTTGGGTAATTTTCCGAAAAATTTCAAATAGTAAAACTTTTTCCAGTACAATTTCTGAAAAACTGGCTCATATTGTGGTCTACGTTTAGAAATATCTTTTAAAGTTTTATTTAACGTGAATAATAAAGTAAAATTATATATCGAATAGCAAGTTCCAGTGAAACGAGATTTAAAATGATTGGACAATAGCTAAAGAATCCATCGTTTTCATTCAGTATCTTCATCTTTTGACAGCTGTCAATTGTCAAATGTGGAAAATATTCAGAAAAATGTTTATTTTTGTACAAAATACGAATTTTTTTAAATGAAATCTTTTCATGACCCAACACTTCTCAGTAGTGTCCCATTCACATTTGAAGAAAATGTTCCACCGCTAAGAATGGCGAATTAGGGGATGAATCCGGTTTATTAGATTTCACCCACTTTTCGTTAACGGATTTCAACAAAACTTGACAAATAGATGCCATTGTGATTGCATTCACTTTTAACTTTAGGCTTTTTTATTACAAAAGTTATTATTATTTGTGAAAAACAAACAGGCATATAAGAACAATTTATTCATTTACTTATATGCTTAAGTTTGCTGATCTTCGATATTGTAATACACTTAAAAAAAGCACATTGTCATTTGTAAGTTTTACTTACATCAAGCAACGCCATTTCGGGGTGGTTTTCCCCGCAGACCAGGAGTGCTAAGTAACGGGCGCGATATAGTAACTTCAATGCCGTGCTCACTTGCCCATTCGCGAAGCAGTATAACGCTAAGTGCGACTGAAAACAAAAAAACAAATAAGTACACAATAATTAATACGAATGAACATATGCGACTCAGTACATACTACACATACTACTTTGGAGCATTCGTTCAATGTCCGAGCAAGGACAAGACGAACTAAAAGAACTACAAGAACCAACTAGTTCAGATTATCGGTTGAACTAGATCACAGTTTTTTTTGGCAGGCTAACGTTTTGATTGCAAAATGTCTAAGTACTAAAACACGCATGTAAAACGTTCCATTAATTTATTTAATTACTTCGTCACTTAATACGCGTAAACCAGCTATAAGATTTTTCTAATCACGTAACAAAGTAACCTGAGCTACGAACGCGATTTACAAATATCAAGTGATGTTATATATAGATCTACTTACGTATTCAGTAATAGTATAAGGATGATCCACTCCGTTTACTCGTTCGGACATAAGCACTGCTTTTTGTTGGTACGCCATAGCGTCTCTATGTTCGCCAGTCACATAGCACAGTCGCGCCACCATGCGGAGACATTGCGCAATTTCTCCGTGCATAGCTCCATATACATTGTTGAGAAGATTCAAAGCCTCAGCTATAAGTTCGTGGCCTTCAGTGACGGCACCTGCTTGTATTTTGTTTTGACCTGTTGTGTAGAAGTTGTATGCATCTGATGCCTAAAAAAAGATCGCGTTTTTAAGCAAAAATTGCATTCATAAAATGAGAGAATTTCGTTGATTGTTTTAAGGAAAATACTTAAGTATAGTGAGATTTTTTTTCTTTAAACTGGAAGTGTTGGTACAATCGTGTGATGTAAAAATTAGCCCCCTTTCAATTACAAAATTTTTTTTTAATGTATCAAGTGACGGGACGAACAAGCCATGCACCTAGTGGTAAGCGACATCGCCAGTCTATAGCAGTTGCAGTGCCACTCAGAGCTTTAAATCGCAAAGATCTGAGGGGCACTGCCACCGCACCCGTCATCCTGAGACAAAAGTTGACAAGTCCCACGTGCTCGTAATTTCACCAGCACCCTTACCCTCCAAAACCGGAACGCAGTATTACACTCATTACTACTTGGCGGTAAGATAGGTAAATAGTTATATATGTATGTATAATAATGACGATAACGAAACTTACCCTAGGATTGATATGTTTAACGACAGGGAAAATGTTCATGATATCTGACCCGGAGAAGGTGGCCTTATTCTTATTGTCGAAGTCATATTCACGTAGTAACATTTGGAGGCCTACTTTGAGTGCGAACGATCTGCAAGAAAAGAGATAACTTATACATATCGTTAGCAACCCATTTATACGTCCCACTGCTGGGCACGGGTCTCCTTAGGCGAGGGTTTAGCTCAAAGTCCGCCACGCCGGCCAAACGCGGGTTGGGGGACTTTACGCGTTGCCGAGAGTTGTGAACATTCTTCTACGTGCAGGTTTCATTACGATGTTTTCCTTCACTGAAAAGCTGATGGTGAATTTCAAATTAAATTTCGCACATAAATTCCGAGAGGTGCGAGACCGGATTCGAAACTACGGCCTCTGCTTGAGAGGCGGTATGTCAAACCATTAGGCTGCTACGCCTTTTTTTTTTTCAAAAGTGCTTTTATAAAATAGGTCCTATCAAGGAATAGAATAGAAAGTTCTTTATGGTTTTTCATTTTTGTTACACTTATGTCCGCAAATGGGTGTGTACGTAATACAATACTTCTTAAGAGCTCTCATGCCAAAAAAGTTTTGACGTTGGCCCCGCCCAAATTTGTGAAATAAATATATGCCTGAAGTTCGCGTGACATGCGACAGGAGATGTTGAATTTTGCGCATTAAAAGTACCAAATTGGTTTTAGCGGAATAACTCTAAAAGTAAAAGGATTTAAAAAATCCGTAGTGATAGTTGTGCCAACCCCTGCATTTCGAGGATAAATCGAAAAAATGTGAAAATTAGAGTTCATTTCGTGATTTTTATCTATCGAGGAAACTTTATTGTTTTATGTTTCTGATTAATGTCTATGCTTGAATATATCGTGTAGTTACTCATACAATATTTTATTTTTAACTTTAAAGTGGATATACCCCTCAAAAATCTAATCGAAGATTAGGAATTTTTCCTCTGCTCCCTCTTAAAGATCTATGCAATTATTTTATGTGGTGTAGCTGGTTTACAGCTCACAGAAAAGTGCTGTAGAAAATATACATACGTAAAATTTATACCTTTCTTTTTATTTCAGAACGTGTTCCCTTGGGGGTACACGACGTTTACTCAGGAATAGAATTCCGGATCTTCACATCGCTCTTACCCTGGGACCGTTTTTTTTAATAATACCAAGTGACGAAATGAAACAAGTCGTACACCTGGTGGTAAGCGACACGCCTATCCATAACAGTTGCAGTGCTACTCAAAGCTTTAAATCATAAAGATATTAGGCGCACTGCCACTGCGCCACCGTCACCCTGAGGCATAAGGTGACAAGTCCCATGTGCCTGTAATTTCACCAGCACCCTCACATTCCCAAATCGGAACGCAGTAATGCTCACATTACTGCTTGGCGGCAGAAATAGGTAAGGTCATGAAGATATAGGGACTGATATTTTATCTATATGGTAACCAAAATTTTATAGACATTTTTTATACTTGCCTGAGAAGCGATATTTTCTGTAATCCATGCTTTTCTATTATAGATTCCATATTGTCGGACTGAAGTTCGTAACCCCAGTATGCCTGTGAATGAAAATATTAATGTGAATGTAGTAACAAATAAACGTTCTATCTATCTATCTATCTATCTATTATTTGTAAGCACATCTATATATGCACAATTTTGTATTGAAATCACGCGGTCTATTAAATTGTAGATAAACAATAGGATTTAGCACTCGACGAGATCGACGTACGAGCGTACACCATGTGAATGATAATGTAGTTTTACTACAAATGCCAAGCTCGTAGTTCATTTGTTCCACAAGTTTATTGTTAACTGACCTTGAGTTCATGACGTATCTGAGAGAAGAGTGCTTTGGGCGTGAGGTTCTGCCACTCCGGGTGCGGAGAAGCGGGGGGTTGCGGTCGCTTGGAGCGGCGCCCCCTGCCCCCGCGACCGCCGCCCCGCGCGGGCGCCGGCGCCTCACACGCTGAAGGTGCGGGACTTGCGCACGCGCCTAATAAGCAGTTCAGGAAATGTGCCACTGCTGCACCGGTGCACATTGCGTCGCTGCCCTGCACAAGCAAAACCAAACTTCTTTACATCTATTATGTTTTTGACTATTAAGCCGCAATAATAAAGAATTCAAAAGTTGACAAGTTATTTGAAGATCTGAAATACAGTGGCACTAGCATTGATATGACATCAAAGGCTAAGTCATCAAGATGAAATTAGATCTATATGGTTAAAAGACATTATTTCTCAAAACAGAATACAAACATACACTTACAATGAGAAATACTAGTTAAAAAAGTTTACAATAACGAACGATGATCGGAACCGTTACATAAATATATCAGTTCAAATTCACGTTTACACAATGTTGTTGCTTACACTTAAAATTTATGTTTTGAAATAACCATGCTAGACATACATCAACAATAAGAAGTTTTTTTTAATGTACGGAATCAGAAATATTTTATTTTACAACAAGCGGACCATGTGGAGAGTTCACATTACATATAAAATTTATTAACAATGCTAGGGTCTATAATAAGTTCTTTAACCCTTTCAAAGTCAAAATTTCAAAGAAATTATTGACGTTCTCTACACCAAGTATGTACAACGAAAGTAAAAAAATGTTACATGTTCGTAATTACAAACCTGCAGATACGTAGTATAAACGTGTTTGGCCGAACGCAATACGAGCTCTCCCACAGCGATGCCATGAAGGTAGGACAGCTGAGCATGGGGCTTGAGCGCCAACGCGACACGTCCCAAATACCGCACATTGATGCCGCGAGCGTGCAAGGCTTCGGTTAGCCCGGCACCGTCCATTGGTGCTGATGTGTGCTCTAAACATTCGCGGACCTGTAGAAAAAATATTTAGTAATTTAATTTTGGAATCTTATATAACTTATTGTACTTGATAAAATTATCTAAACTGCAAATAAACCACGTAAGGTGAACCACAAACAGCTGTATTCATTATTTGACAGATACATGAGTAAAAACATCGAGCATATAACCAGAAACAGAGACGAAATAAAGGCCACCCAACCCTGGCAACTCATCAGGCAAATGGGCTTTATATCACTTTTAAATATCACCACTCGTTTGCGCTGGAATCACAAATTAGAACAAAATAGAACAGTACAGAGTCAACAAGTGACCCGTGTGTACGTCTCCGTATATTTCAAAAATATTCTGTATTTATTGTAATAAAGATAATTTCTCTAACTATGGTCCATTCGGTGGTGTAGGAAAAACAGCAAAACATCTATTACAAAACAAACGAAATCATATTTCATCGGTAATTAAATATTAAATGCGTAATTTTTCAACTTTCTTCCATTATAGCAAAGCTCAAGTTAAACTGGTCGATTCGAAGTGAAACAATTGACGACACCCGTCAATTGTTTCGAATTCGGGCTGGCCAATCGGAGCGCAGTTGTCACCGTAATTATTTGGCAGAATAGTTTTCAAACCAATTAAATAACATTCGTCTCTATTTCTGGTTATATACTCGATGAGAAAAACGACGATTCAAACGGCAATACTGTGCCTTAAAAATGATTATCTGTACTAAGTTTTAATACAATCCAGACTTGGCAAAAAGATCTCATCAATGCGATTGGCAAAGATATCTAATTATTACATTGCGTCACTATTCTAACAGTGATTTATATTACTTTTGTTAATTTATTTCATATTCACACATTCTAATAAATAGGGATATAAAGTAAGTAGTACACTGAATCACTTCAGGAGTTTTAAGTGTCACATCTGACAAATGAAAATTAAATACTTATAAACAGTCTTCACTAAGTAAATCATTACATAAACTATCTTATATAAAGAGATAGGAAGGTCAAGGACAAATTACACTATGTAGGTAGGTCAAGTACAAATTACACTTTGTAACAAATTTTCATAAATATTCTTTTTCTGAGTTGACAGGATTGGTTTTTGTTTAATGGAGCAGCAAGGATGTAGAAAGGAGTAACTATACCCCTGCAACTTTGCTTTTGTAGCAGTCACAGTGGTATTTACATAGCTGCCTATTTCAGGTATACATGTTATATTTTACATTGATTAACATAACTAGTCTTTAGTTATTGCTTTGTACAATAAGTTACTCAATAAACAATTTTATTTCTTATTTTATTATTATTGAAACGCTACATAGTGGTATGTACATAATCTCGCAAATCTATATATTTTTATTTCTTTGTCATCAATTTGTGAATTTGGATTGAAACTTACTATAGATTTTAAATATGTTTTTTTATCTTTAAATAAAGCGTAACCCGAAAATTTGTGCGTTTTCTGTATGATACGCAAATTTCAATTTTTCGTTGTCCTGACCACAAAAGCAAAATTTCTGCAGGGTAATAAAATTTTTTTCGTGTGTTTATGTTAGAACCAATTAGAAAATAATAAATAAGCTAATAATATATAATAACCTACAAAATATATGTTTAAAAGCTGGAGGGTAGCTGGTCTGGAACTAGTCACGGCTGAGTGTGAGAGAGAAAGTAGTGGTTACGCTGCATTAGGGTATTAGGATTTTCTGACCTTTACAATGTTTCAAAGATGTACAAGCTGTTGCTTTTCATAAAACGATTACGTGACTCGATCTGTCAAATTATCATGAAGTTTACTTACAAAAGCTGGTATCTGCGTGGTGAGCACGAAGGCAGCGGCTTCCTTGACGAGATGTCGTTGTTTGGCGAGCTGTTCGGGGGAGGCCGCGTGTTTGATGCCCGGTGAATACACGTCCGGGTTGAAGCGGACGTCGAATTCAGACTCCTTGAGTGACGCCACGGCGCGAGCTGCTGCTGCTACTACTGCGCGGGAACGCTCGCCGGCTAACGGTATAAACGGTGTTTATAATACAATTTCTTTAATTTGCATTACTTTGCCGTAGCACTGTGCGTGGAAATAATAACGTTGCGATGACGTAACGCATTGGCAGTGCCTGTGTGGCATCGCTCTTACCGTCGAACCTTAGAAATAAATATGGATTATCTCTGGACCTCTTGGACGGAAAAGAGTCGTTTTTATTTTGACTTTCAATTATTTTGTGAAATCAAGTTTAAAGTGGAATAGGATAGTGCTATTGTGCCTTAATCGTAGATTAAAACGCGAAATTATACGAATCTCGAACTAAAATACCCGTATCGGCCCGTCTTAAGGAATCCCGAGTCAATCCAAGCACGCCGCCTCAAATTGCCTATCCTCTATGTGGCGGCCATATTTACATATTTACATATTTACAGAAACATATTTTGAACTTATTCTGCTAAGCGGAAAACTCGACACTGGCGAAATCTTAAAAAGAAGGAACCGCCATTGAGCAAAACGAAGAAGAAGAAGAAATAAATATATTGCTACTACACGAGTAACAAGGTGACGTTACTTGCGACGTTAACTCGTTTGCTTTAAAATTATGGCAGAAAGAAGATACTTTATGCTCTATTTACAAAATAAATAAATCCCCGATATAAAATAACACGATATTGAAAACATATGCAATAGACAAGTCCCTTCATACTAAAAATAAGGAACGAGGTAAGCATTCAAACTGACAATTTTTACCAATATTTGTAAAGAAGTTAAAGAAAATCGCTTGACATTTTAAGACCCGTAGGAAATAAATAGCAAAAAATAAAAATACCATTTCGTTCTGTTCAACAACGGGACGATAAATATCTGTATCTTTTTATGTTTGGCAATTGTAAAGTAATTAAAATGAATGTGAATGAGATGACAATTATGTTACGATTTCAAATAAAAACTACAATTTGAGACAAATACTCAACCCGTCACAACTTCCTAGAGACACGCGGTGTCCCTAACGATTTTGGTACTGCGCCTTAGAGCCACACGATGTCTATAACTCGCAGCTGTGGTTTAAATGTATGAAAAAATATAAAAATAAAAATACCGCAATCGTGTGTCTCTCGAACGCGTGACGGGTTAATCTATTCTAAAGAAATGCTAGCCGTGAAGTATTTAAGTTAAATGGCTTCCATACGTGCGGTGTCGAGATTTAACTGTCTAATTGCGAGGCCTTTCTATTGCATTCATTCACAGATCACAGCTTTGTCAAAGAGATGAACAGTAGACAGAACAGCCATCTCTGATTGGATGTAATGGAAAGCGCGTATGAATTTCGGTAAGCTAGGAGCGAGGCATAGTACTCACAATCAGTTTCCTGTTTTTCACCGCTGCAAATTGAATCTGTTATGCTTTCAACGATCTTCTTAGCCACATCGGTGTCAATGTCTGAATAATTTTCGTTTGAAAGCAATTCCTCCTCTTTGGTCTTTTCCTTTTCGTCAGATTTGTCACTATCAGTTTCATCCTTTTTGGCACTATCTTTTTCTCTCTTCTGTTTCTTATCTTTTTCTCGTTTCTCAGACTCGTCTTTATTAGCTTCAATGGACTTTTGTTGTTCTTTATTTTGTTGCCGTTTAGCACTTAATTGTTGTAAATGGAAGGCCGCGTATCGAATGAACATGAAGTAACGAGCTTCGACAAAACTGTCTACCAATTCTTGTCTAAGGCAACAGAGCTTGTGCTTGTGTATTATTGGGAATCCCATTGACTTTATGTCCTCTCTGAGTTCGTCATCTTCCACTGTAAGAAAAATAAACATAATAAATCCTGTCCTCCATGGGTTCGAATTCGGGCTCTCACCATTACTTTTTCGGTGAAGGAAAACATCGTGATGACCTGCATGTGTAAGGTGGTTGACAGTCTAAGGAAAACATGGAAGTCCCCAACCCATATTGGGCCTAAACCTTCGCCTGTGAGGTAACCCGTGCCCAACAGTGGGACTTACTTATGGGTTGGTGATAATGATGATTTCCTCCATTGCATAATCGAAACTTTTCAAGTTACTTGTCCAATGTCGTTAGCTAGTTAATAGTGAACTTCGACATATTTTCAAGTTGCTAGTGAAATAAATTAGTTTTTAACCGTTCCGCAACATGGACTGGGTCCAACTCTAACTTTTTAGCCGTAACAATGAATGTAACTTACATTGAAGGAAGTTAACATCAGGCGGGAAGGTACGTAGCAGGTCTAAAATGTAGTGACGGCCGTCGTTTCCTATTATTCCCTTGCACTCAACGCTGGAACACAACTCAACTGTTTCGCCATTCGCGCTGATCACTGAGTGCGGCATTATCTTTAGTTGCTGTCCTGCTTTGCTTAGCTAAGGCAAATAAATATATTGTATTTAAAACCCACCACAGTCTCATAAATAAAATTCTAAAAATAATTTGTTATGTCAATGTGTCTTCCACCCTTCATGGAAGAATGGCATAAGTGGAGTTTAGATACAGAAAAATAGAACCCACACCCTCTCCAATTCTTGTAACTCTACCTAAAATACTAGTCGATAGAATTACAAGAATTGGAGAGATTGTGGGTTATATTTTTCTGTATCTATTGGAGGAATAAACATGTTTGCCGTAACTCCATTTATGCCATTCTTCCATGAGGGGTGCGAATGTCTCATTAAAAAAAATCAATCTCACAAGAGTAACAAAATTATTATCATATGGCAGTCTCAACTCAGCATCTCTGATTTGACCGGAAACTACGGAAATACTTTTAATACTTAGGTTACTAGAACACAAATAATTTAAATTTAGACAGTACCGTTAGAAAAAAGAAATTGGCTGAGAGCCGACAGATATGTTTAGTCCTCATAATAAACTTTGTAAGCTCGTTTACGCACTGCATCCGATTCGTATTTGTTCTGAATCCGAGACTATACAATTCTAGAAAACTCGGACCCACTTCGGATGTCGCTTGTGCACTAAGTCCGATACGTATCCGAAAAAATACGAATATCGCTTGTACACTTATACACGTAGATAAAATGACCACTGTGACATTCCGACCGTGATTTCTCGGATTCGGAACTGGGGGGCTACTACTCGATCTCCGTCCGACATCCGTCCGAAACAATTACTGTCAAATAAGTAATATTCGACAAAATTAAAAGACAAATATCCAGTATAAAGCTTCATTCGCATCACGCGTCTTTTCATTTGGTCAAGTATTGCTTATTTGGCAGTAATTGTTTCGGACGGATGTCGGACGGAGATCGAGAGTAGACCCCCTGATTCGAATCCGACGTTGTGCGCAAACGCTCTTGTTGTTATGAAATTACAAAGTGAAAATTATTTTGTAATTCCATGACAATAAAAACTTTGTTATGGATACTAAACACCTCTGTCAACCCTTAACCAACGATCTTTTTCTGAGTGCGTGTTTAGATCCCTTAGATTCTCGGGCGTCGAAATTTAAAAACTCAAATTGATTTTTAACATCAATATTGGTGTTGTTCGAACTTATCAGCAAATTTTTTTTTTAAAACAAAAAGCAGATCACTTTACTCACCAATTCCATATACTTCGGATGACTTAGAACAGTGGTACCAAAATCGATGCTTCCGTACACAACACTCTGTTCTTGCTCCTTCTCCAATATACCGGGTATTATGGACTGGGCCGTCACTCGATAGCCGCGGTAGTCCACCACCACCGTGCCGAGGGTATGGAGGCCAGGCGTATCTACGGCGCTGTAGACGCGGACACCTTGAAGGTCGTTGCGCTGAACAAATAATTATATTATTATAAAGCAAATTTGATCAAAATAGTCACCATTAGCTTATTACTTTTTATCATACGGTTACTAGATCAATGTACGATCGTATGCTGAATGCCGAGCACCTCAGAACATCAGTTGGTCTACTCCCTTTCTCCATCCAAACCAAATTAAAAGAAGCATGATGCGAATGAGGCTTCATATTTGACATTGTTTTTTTTTTATTTGGTCGAGTATTACTTATTAGACAGTAATTATATTGGACGGATGAGAACGGGGTAGACCTCCATGTATACACTAATCGCTAAGGCAAAGGACATTAAATTTGTCAACGTATATTTAAGGTGTAAATATTATTAATACAAAGATCGAACACAAAAAACTTTCATAGACTAGTAATTTAATTAATAAAAATTATTTCTTTAATAAAACGTAATTAGTAATTTTTAATATCATGGTAGTATAACATAATGATAAAGCAATAAACTTACATAAACTGTATATGTAAATCAGCAATGCTGAGTCTTCATACTTTTTGTTCACATTAGTGTTCTTTTGTTTTAATTGTTCGCTTATATTTGTTTATGCGTTTCGTGGATAAACAATGTCCCTTTTTTATTTTATTAAGTTTAAATTTCAATGCTCTGAGACGCAGAGAGAAATGTGTCGCGATGCTCCGAGATCGGTATCAAGAGCATTGCAATTTATACATAAGGCTACTGACTCAATGTTTATTGGAGTGCTTTATCCTTATCATTGATCGTATCAATTAGTACAATAAGAGCGAGTGTTTATTTTTTGCACTTTTAATTAGTTCGAGTTCAGGCTCAGATAAACTTCAAAATTAAACTGTGAATGCAGTTACTGATATTACGAAAAATAAAAGAACGTTTACTAATATTAAAATGAGCTATCTAAAGCGTTTAAGATGGTTCCCCTTCATGTACTCTTAATTTTTTTTGTCACCCTATAAATATGTAACACACAATAGTGTTATGTATATATTATATGTATGTATACATAGATGTATTATATTATTCATTACTAATATGTACGTGCGTATTCATTATACGTATGTAGAATTCATTTAACAATATACTTATTTCATTTTAATGTTTTTTCCCCCACTTTTTTCCTCGTATTGTTTCTATTAACAAAGACAGTATTATTTAATTTTGTTTGATTTTTGTTTTTATCTTTTATACTTTTTAATAAACACGTCTAACGTCTTAAATTATTATTTTAATGGATAACTTGAATTGGCCTATACAAAAAGTGCTAAAAATGTGTTAAGGTTAAAATTGCATTACGAATATTGGCTGTTGTTATCCCTAATAACATAAAATAATTGCTCGATGATGGTGCTTAAAATGTAACTCTCTCTTTAGAGGAAACCCATGGCCAGCTGTGGGATGTATGGGGAATAGAAGATTGCTTGCCGACAGATTGTATACACTTGCATTATTGGCGACCTCCGTGGTCGAGTGACTTGCACACCTGTTTTCATGGTGTAGCCATTTCTGAGGTCCCGGGTTCGATTCCCGACCGGGTCAATATAGAAAACTAACTTTTCTATGTTGTCTCGGGTCTGGGTGTTGGTTGTACCGTCGTTATTTTCGATTTCCATAACACAAATGCTTTAGTTTAGGAAAATATTAAGAATAAACTTGGTTCCCCTAAAATTCTTCTTTTTCTCTTTCTTCTCTCTAAATTCCTGGTAGTCTATTATCTATCGCCTCTACTTAGAGTATCTGTGTAAAGCAATAAGACGTGTATGGGTAACGAAACATAACTTACAGGAGCAACAAAAGCAGCGGCGTCACCACCGAGGTCTTTGTAATGGTCGCGGACATCGAAGCCGAGTGAGAAGAAGATATTGTTCCAGATGAACATCTGCATCTTGGGCTCTTCGCCGGGGTTGATCGCCATCACGTTGCCGTCAACTACGGCCATTGCGCCGCGCGTCGCCGCTGCTACAAAGTCGCTGTGGACCTGGTTTTAATGCTTATTTTAGAAAATTTTATTTATTTTTATTATAAATTGCGTCCGACTCCATTGACTGTCTGCTATGTTATGCTATCTCAAATATCACTGACAGTTCCCTGTAAGTCTGAAACAATTCACTTTTGGTTCTACCCCCGGCCCACACTAATTGCAGGCAAAACAATCATTTTAACACTCTATGTAATAATATTTTTGATCTGAATCTTAACTGAACTTTAGTAGCAGTAGCGCTACTTGTGAAAGAGTTCGTCCAGGGAAGTACTGCCACCTTACCTATTTCTGCCGCCAAGCAGTAATGGCAGCATTACTGCGTTCCGGTTTTGAAGGGTAAGGGTGCTGGAGAAATTACAGGCACATGTGACTTGTCAACTTGTCTCAGAGTGACGCGCGCAGTGGCAGTGCCCCTCAGATTGCGATTTGAAGCTCTGAGTGGCACTGCAACTGTTGTGGACAGGCGTGTAGCTTACCTGAGCCTGATGGCTTACGACTTGTTCGTCCCTTCACTTGGTATCATATGGAAAAAAAATATATCGAACCTTGAAAATAGCTCTTTCACGCAGCAATCGCTCAGGTAGAGTCGCACGTGGCAGCTCACGGGTGGTTTGAAGCTCCTCGTTCCAGTCGCGAGTCTGGCCTGGTATGTGTTCTTCGTAACCCAGTTTTGAAGAGAATGCTGTATGGAAAATGGTTATATAGAACAATATATATATATATATTCGTAATACTAACAATCTCGCAAGAGTATATTACTAATATCATAATTAACAACTTTTGTTCCATGAGTTTACAAAACATAATAAATGTACCATAAATAAATTAAGTGAAGAAAAATTTTCATAGATTCCTAACAGATGGTGCTACGGCAAAAAACCAAAACAAAGGACAGCAGAAGTTGGTCAAATTTAATAAAATGTAATTAATTTTGTATGAACTTTTTTTGATCCTTACAGAAAAATAAGTTGATCAGCACCAAAAAAAATTTTAGTCAATTTTATTCATTTTTATGGACAACTCACGCTAGCCCAGAAAATTGACTATTGTACTAGTGACCAAAATTGTTTTCACAAAAAAAACTTAATGATTCCTAAGACAGTTTCCTTGTATCTTCTATGCTTTCGGATTTTCCCATACGGTCCCATTAAAAAAACACTGTATATCGATATTAAAGTCCATCATATTTTATTAAGTTACAAGCGTATTAAGGCTGTCTTATATGAGACACATTGAGCGAAATAAATAAAGAAAAAAGTTTATAGTTTTATATTATTTAAGTAATCAATATCTACGGCTAAGCATTATATTTCACTCTACATTTATTTCTCTCGAGAGTTTGGGTGTAATTTGTGGTTGTCTGTTTGTGTCCATGGCATCCGCGATACAGAGTTTCCCTATTACGGAGCATGAGTGTCAAAAAAAGCTTACTGTCTTCAGCTCGAATTGCATCAACAGTATGTTCCAACATCGGCGAAGACCATTGATAAACTTGATAAGGCGTGGCGACCCTTTCGAAGGGATGCTTCTGCATGCGGCGTTTTTGCACCAGGCTGAAGTTCCGCTTGAACGCAGGGGACACAATGCTGAGAAGTTCGATCAGGGAGTGGCACAGTAGAGGCGGGGTGCATGGCCGGGGGTTGAAAACTTCTTCGGTGGATCTGTTATTAGAAGGCTACACTTAATTCAACCGAATTATACAAAACATGACAGTCGATCAGACATCGACACAGTATTGCAAAATAAAATGTAAGTATATTGAAAAAATATTTTAAATATAAATATATAATAAAGGCTGAAAAAAATATGTTTAGCACGCTCGCTATGTTTTGGAAATTCAAAAAACTAATTTCTTTAATAAATTTAAATTAATTTTTCTAATTTTTTTTTTATGTATGTTACGCGATAACTCCGCCATTTGTGAACCGATTTTGATGATTCTTTTTTTGTTGGAAAGTGGGTACCTTAGAAGTGGTCCCATTTAAATTTGAAGAAAATATTCCACCAATAAGGGTGGTAAACTAGGGGATGAATAACATCACAAATGTTATTCATCCCCTAGTTTTTTGTACTCTGTACTGAGATTAGGTTATTATTGTATTGTTTGGCTTTGGTATCGTTTGTTTTATGAAATTATTATAGTAATACGGGAAAGTATATTGCCCTGCATATATATAGTAGTGGTAGTACCACGGACAAAAACAATTGCCTACCCTTGATACTACTAGGCCTGTCGATAGTTACACGGGAGAAGATTATTGCTCGTGGAACTGCCAGTAGTTCTGTTGGTAGTTCCACGGCCAACAAAGGGTTGTTGGTGATTTAAATTAATATTCTTAAGTCATTAGTGGTTGAGTCAATCTATGTTATACATTTTCCAAAAAAATGTGCAAATGTTGCAAAAATACATGAATAGTAAATGCTATGACACTCTAACAATTTAATCACCTTCTTATATTGATAGCTGTATCGAAATCATTTCGGGAAGTAGAGTCACGATACGAGAGTACACTCATCGCTATTAGTACCGTGTCAACATTTTCGAACCAACATACGTTTATTTGAATTGTCATTCATTAAGGTCAATTGCTTTGATGGTGAATGAATGAAAGAAGACACAGTAAGATAAAATGTTATATATAAATACTAACTGATTAAGGTAGAATCCTCTGGGGCACGCCGTGATGTGGAAATGGCGGTCCTCGAGTGTGACTACGTGGAGGTACAGCAGGTCACCACACATCTTGCGAGGTCCAGGCGGAGGGTTCCACCCGGATGTGGTTAACACCTGGTTATAATAATAATAATCATCGTTTATTGTCTCCGTTTGTGTATTGTAACTAAAGCGATAGTCTAGTTGGGGAACACATATCGTTCATTTACAAGTCAAAGCGCGAATGTGCGTCATTGTGTTTTTCGGAAATGTAAGCAGTTTACACTTGTAAACATATCAGTTGATTTAACGGAGATGGAAAATGTCACGATAAAACCCTTTAGTCATTCATTGGACTGGTATCATAGTGTAATAAGTATGGTAACTCCATGCAAACGTAGCAGCGCGGGTTGTATGTGTATACGCCCGCCGTGCGTCGGCGTCGCGTACGAACGCACAAATTCGTATAATCTCGCGGTGCACTCACATTGCATAGAGCGGTTTGTCCAACGCGCCAATTGTTATATAATTGAAATGAACGCTCGATGTTTACAAAATGACGATCAAATAGTAGACGTGTACATTATTGTGTTTGTGGTAGTTTGAACAAGAGTTCTTCATATCCTACAGAATTGTTCAGCATTTCATTTCTATTTTTCATAATCATACTCCATAACCAAGATAACAATCCGCGATGCTAGGATGAAAATATACACATACTACATTTAAGAAAGGTTATTTCAACACAGCACGATAATACCGTAATGAACATCTTAATTTTTTCATATTATGTTTACAACATAAAGGTTCAACAAACCTACGTTCAAAGGAACAAACCTACGTTCCGAGTGAAATATGGAGAATTTATGCGCCGAACAGGCGGATGTTGTCCTACTTGCTCTTATTATATTATGCTAGCATTGTCGACAACGCGTTAAGAATTTCAAATAAGAGATTGTTTAAGCAAATAAAACAATAGGTAATAACTAACTTACCTTCAAGCATTGCGGGGCCTTATTTTCCTTAGTGAGACCCGGGTGAAGAGGCAACAGCGGTCTCTCAGTACTACCTGGCATTATGTAGTCTGGTGGAGTGCAATCTACGCTTTCCGGACGGGACTTTTTCTTTTCTGTTTTAAAAAATGTTGGAATTAGTGATGGCAAAATATAAAGGCATGAGGATATATTGACCTCTCAGTAGTAATAATTTACTTCAGACGCGGAGGTAGTTTAATTTGGTCGAATGTTCATGAGTGAACATTCTCCAGGAGCGCACCGATAGGCCTCGCTTATTTATGCCGTGTTGTGTGTAGGATTATAAACGAAGTTCAGTGTGAATGGGTAGATCTGAATGATCAATTGTGAAAAGAAGGAAAAAGGTGACGAATGAGAGATGTCTGTAGGTTTAGGTACCGGTTGAGTGCAACTAATTATTTTTCCATTTTATAAAAATTAAAGCCTACAATTACCAAAGTATTAAGTCTTATTTCCATCCCAGATGAAATATATTTCACGTTTTTCGCAATATCTTGATAAATATGGCAAGAGCGGTCGCCCCAGTGTGGCAACAGAAACTGATTCGAGTCCAGTTAGATCATGTGAGTTATTCTATGTTTCGGTCCAACGACCGAAAAATTTGTGGGATAATTTCACAAAAAATAATTGAAAATCACAGTAGTAAAACATCATAGATATCTTATAGATAAACATATTTACAAATTTTTAACTAAACTACACCTTGTCGTTTCAACGTGTGGTCCATTTAAACATATGGTAATTTTGACACCAGTCGCTTAAGTAGCAAGGCAGTACAAGTTGTAGTGTTTCTGCATACGTGGTCGTCCTTATGCTGATTAGGTTATTTTGAACCTTTTTTTTTTCCTTTTTTAGAAATATAAATTTTCGATACGGGTAAGAGCTCTTATCTTGCTCCTTTAGTCAAAAGAATAGCTCCACTATAGTAGACAAGAGCATGTCAAGCTTTACACATTATACTTTGGACCGTTATCGTAAGCGGCATAGAGTTGAATTTAAGTCTGTACAAAAAGTTACTTACCAAGTATGTCACCCTGGGTGACAATATTCAGAAAAGCAAGCGAAGAACACTCGTGGCCAGCGTAAGCGTCCGTATGATCGGTCGACTTTAGAAGATCGCGAACGTGACGCACGTGAATGCGAGCCTCGCGCATCGTATACGGTTCTTCCACAACCTATGATTGAAATTTTTTTTTAAAAAAACGCCATTCAAGGCACAAATATGATAATTGTTGTAGGTCTGCACATCAAATACTTTGTAACACCAAACTGCTCTAGCAAACGCATAGCAGTATTTCCTTTTCGTATCTTCAATAATGAAAACTTGGGCCCAATTCTGCCAATTTCAAATCATCTCAGTTGTGTGTCGATAGACTGTAAATTTATACGTGTTTAGTACGTGTGGTATTCTGCTAAAAGTTAAGAGTAAAGGTTTGTCAGGGGCTAGCCATCGAGCTACTATTCCACAGCCATTGCAATTTTTTGGTATTCAGTTATTCAATGGCGAGTCGAAGGTCGGCTACTAACTGACGTTTCTTTCGATTCGTATTTACTTCCAATTCCAGTGCTTATCAATTATTGAGATTTTTTTATAAAATAAACATTAATTTGAAGAATAAATAGCTGATTAAACGAGATAAAAATTAAAATATGCATAGTAATTTCCATGGTACTTTTGGTAAGCCGACATCGATCGTTAATCAATGAATGCCATCATTGTCATTTCACTGCACAGATTTTTAGCAGAATAACAATTATTATCATAATTGTAATAAAATCTTAGTGGAGTATCAATAGAATCACAACTACCAATATTTCAAGAAAATTAGCAGACTTAAGCCTTGAACATTTAGGGGACACAAGAACTGCCGCATTGTCAGAATCATAATATGATTAATTGTCAATTCATATTATGAACTTAGAAACAAAACCTAAATATGCAAATCATCTATTTGGCAGTGTTCTATAGAGGTCTCTCTAAGATTTCAATCAATCATCAATCCTCAATCAATCAATTCATCTCTTATATACATAGAGGTCTATATATATAATGCGTTAATATGAATTGTCAATTAATCATATTATGACACTGCCAATACGGCCTTTTTAGCCCTGCTGATAGGACCGTCATAAGTAATTTTACCAAGCAAGTTTACTTAGTTTTACATTTTTTGTACAAATTAATAATGTTCGTTTGATATTTAATTCGTTCATACATACATATGCCCGTCTATTACGACTGACATTTTTATGGTGGTTCGCTTACGTTCATTTTCTTTCAAATTTGACTTTTGAATTTTCAAATTTAATTCTATGCTATTCACATTAACTTGATTCAAAACTCCATTACACTTCAAAGTACACTTATAAGTACATTTTATTGTGCACGTACCAATCATATTCCCTACACTGCAATGACTTAAGTTTTCACATAGTCATCACGTCAACGATTTCTTATCGTATTGTATGTTCTTACGTGCTGACGTTAAAACGTTTATAATGTATATTATAAATTAAAAGTTAGCAAAAAAAAACATTGTCTTATCTGAATGACGAGTCTAAATAAATAATTTACAATTAATATAATAATTGGTAAGCTCTGTAATAAATACTTGCAATGAAGTGATTTTATGTACATACCTATTAATGGCACCAACAGATCTCAAGTAATGATTTTTAGTTAACTTTTAAAAAAGAAGTCTTTCGCCAGTCGATTGTATAACGGTGGCCATAACTAAGATGTACAAAAAAACAGTCAATATTCGTCGTTGAAATTTGCAGTTCATGTTATTTATATACCTTAAAAACGTAGTACGGTTTCATGTACAACCAATTGTTACAATGGTATATAATAACATCATTGTGATTCAATTATTGATTTTTGTTTCATATAACTGACTTTCATGTGCATTTTACATAAAATTTATAAGTTGGACAGTTCAAGTCAAAGGATCAACTTGATTTAAGTTTTACTTCGTTTTGAGAGACGCAATGGATATTAACCATTGGAGGCCTACCTCCAACGGTTAATATCCATTACATATGGCCTAGTCATATGATTCAGGTTCAGTCCATTTTTTGATGACCCCGATTATCAATCAGGAGGTTTTAGTGTGATGAGAGAAAATCTTATTGGTATGAAAATATCAACATCTTATGTCAATAGGGTCCAGTCAATTACATATTCCAATGGGCCTTAAAATGAAAGTGACTTCTAGATTATGAGTTAAGTATAGAGGAGTTTGTTACTAACATTTCTTCTTTATGGACATTGTTGTCTTTTGGCACCATTTTGTGTTACAATATTTTTGTTCTACTACTTTCATTTATTGTTATTTAGGAAGTAACTCATAATATGATCGCCATTAATATAAAACAAAACAGTAGAACAAAAATGATCCTTGAAATTGTAATATCGAAACATTATTAATTTGAAGTAAATTAAGAATAATAGTATATTGTATATTGTATAATAGTATTTTTATACAATATACATATAGTTAATAATTACTTAATATAATAATTTACACTTAAAATTAAAGCTCTCATAAAATCTAATCAATAACTCGACATATTGGATACACCTACCGAACGTTATTCATTTGATTGATTGGATTATTGACGTTACGATTTAATAAGTTCATCTATAATAACTAGGTGAATCGATAACGACCTTGATTACAAATGATTGATTATTTTGTACCTTAATAATAGATCCCTCTTTCAATCCTTCAATATTTTTCAATTCCGCAAAGTTGTCCAAAGTAACACCGTCGAGTTGCAGTGAAAAACACGTTCTGTGACAAGTGTCCTCTCGGTCCATTAACACTTGATGAATTTCCTGAACTAGCTCCATACTTGACACCTGTGATAGTATTTATTAATTTTATATCTACAAAGGTCCAAATTGGATCCAAAATCATTTTCTCTTTTGCCTAAAGTCTACATCATGAATAAGAAAAAATCCAAAAAGCTACTCGCAGCATACGTAAACAGCTTAATTTAAATTAAAGAAATATTCAATGCGGACACAAAATATTCAAACTATAGTAGAAGTTACCTGAATGTCCAAAGGTTCAGCCCCAGGACTAACAATCTTGACGGTGAAACCCAAGTCTTGAATGAACACAACCTCGGCATCCCTTTTCTTGTCATCGCCATCTTCGCTGGGAGATAACTCCCTGTCTTTTTCCCCATTTACTACTATCTTACTGCTGTCACCGTTCATTTTGCTCGACACGTTTTCCATACTCTTGGAGTATTTCTTGTCCTCATTTTTCTTTGTTATGTTAGAATCACTCTTATTCTCAGACTCTGCAGATTTGTCAGCCGCCTTAACTTTCTTTTCTTTCTTGCTATCAGACACTGTTTTACCTTTATTGGGACAAACTTTGTTCGCAACATCGCGGATTTCGTCAGACTTATTAGAATTAGTGTCATCCGAATCACTGTTAGTTCCGTTAGTAACTACTTTAATAACGCTAAAGGAACTACTACTAATATCACAATCTGAATGTTTTGGGTCACCGTTGACTACATTCTCACAAGAATTTTCTGTGCCATTTACTATTGGTTCTTTGGTACGTAAGGTATCTTTCTTACAATCATTATCTTTTGATATTGACCCCTCTCTATTTACTTTGGTCGTGGTATTGCCGGATTTCGGTTGTGTTGACTTTTCCCCATTGGTTTTCGATTTTTGTGCCTCTGTAAATTAAGAAAATTGTGATATTTTAGCATACATTCCTATACTCACGTAAGAAGTATTTATATTTGATACTAAAGCTTTAGATTAGATAGCAAAAAGCAGATTACACACAGTGCCGGAAAAGGGATTTTTAAAAGCCCTATAAAAATTTGGCCAACCAAAGTAATAAGTAGTTTAGAAACGTTCGACTCAACTTAAAAAAGAATAGGAAAACTTACGTTTTAAAATAAACTGAAATTCTTTGAAGGCTTTGCGGATTTGATAAAGACGTTGAACTAGAATCAGATAGTAGATTGGTGCCATCGATACATAAAATATAAATAAAATCGCGAAATTAATGGTTAATCTGAGCTGACAGGAAATGCGATCGAAGCCAACCCGAAAACAGACAAAATATACAATTTATTTGTACGCATATCGTATGTCGCTCATTTTAAGGGTAACAAAGATGTCGTACTGTGCAATGTTATTTAGGAGAAATCGATTAATTAAAATTAAACATAGATATTTGTTTTTGTTACTATGCTATGATGTCAATATCTCAGAAGACTGGAGAAAGAACCACCTGAAAATATTAAGTCATGAAGTCATGAAAGTTATCCGTTGATCCGGCACTGGGCGTCAGGTGTCAAAAGTCGTTGGTGTCTAGAAGCTGCTACAGACTATGCCACTACGATAGGAAAGTAATTGCTATGAAAGCTATCTTCACTGGGACAACACAGGAAGTTGATAAAAGTGCGATCGATGCACCTGTGTTGAGGGGGAAAGGCGGAGGCACGATATTCTGTGGTGAGGCGGCTTTGCGCGCCGCGGCAGCGTACGAGACGCGAGGCGAAGCGACGAGACTGCCACTGCCACCGCCGCCTTCATCATCAGCGCGTCCGTTCGGCGTACTCACGTGCCCATTGCTGCAACCCACCACCTTCACGCTACCGTCCTTCTTCATCTTACCTTGTTTATCTAGTTTTTCAGCTGCAACAAGGAAAATAATATTCTGTAAGAGGAATTGTTTGCTCAAGTCACTTTTTTCGTTCTTATAAATATGTATAAGTCATGGAAATTATTGAGTTCTGTAAGGAGTTAAAGTTTTACTGTCTCCGTTCATACGTAATGTCGATAGATTTTTGTTTTTTGTTCGCTAGACAAGGCAGAGGGAAGGGCGGGAGGTAGCGAGCGCGCGTCCGTCCCGTGACGGGCGAGCACGTGGTTTGCGCTGGCGCAACGCCAACTATCTCCAGCGGCGAGTCAATAATAGATGGCAACGAGATGCCGCCAACAATAGACGTCGACGACGACGCCTGCCACTGCACCCGTTTAAACAACACCACACATTTCCTACATCACTCCACTATCGAGGCAAACACACTCATCCGAATACACTGCTAAGAAAGTGGTTTGCGGTGAAATTTGTCAACTGTTATGTAGTAAAGAACATAGACTACAATAAAACTGTTCAGTTATAGCGTGAACTAATGTATCCACCTAAACTTACGCATAACAATAGCTAGTGAAGATCTTTTCAAAATTATTATATTATATAGAAAAATCATACCATGTTTAATGGTTAGGGGCATGAATAAGAAGAAATAGTGAATTTTAGAATATAAACATGTAGCCTACATACAGAGCTAACATGTCACCGTTATTTAGCACAACATTCCAGCGATAAGAAGATTTCGTTCAATAAATATACAACATATTATCTTGATATTATTATACTGTAAGCCAGTTTCATTCTGCTATTAAACTTTGGTCTGAGATATTAGACAAAAGCAAAGTCCATTGCTGGTGCAACATCGTGGTTGACGATAAAAAATATTATCACACAGAATACTGATATTATCTTTTCCGCCGCAGCCAAACAAGATAAGGACAAGGCGCCTCTAATTTGAAGTAGACACATCAATTCAAAGTTGATATAATGGCGTTTACACAATTCTTTTATTTGTGGGTGCACGCTATCGTTCAACGAACGTGCGAAGCTTAAGCATCGCAGTGCATGACGATCTATTCACAACTGCCCTACGTATTATCGATAACTTAATAATCAGGATAGCTGTTCTTGTTATACTATACAAAACGTTAGGTGCAATAGAGGTCGTAGAACGAAGTCTGCTCTTACTGAACGCTTTGTAGCGGGAAGAAATGCTTAGAACTGAATGGTGCATCAATAATGACTTGTGTAATAAATAATCTAGCAAAAAAGCCTAACCTTGATTATTGTATTCATGATAATAAACAACTAGCAAATAAACAAATTGTCTTAGTATAATTAGTAATAATATTACACGGGTTATCATTGATACACCATTTACTTCTAGGCATTCCATCCAACAACATTTGTGCAAATTTTGTAGTAATTCACCAAGACAATTCTGATTCTTCAAATCAACATTCTATAGAACTCGGACACTGTATAGACAGAGAATCAAAATTTTTATTTCGCGAAATCAAAACTGTTTTTGAGTATGATCCTCGTGTAACTGCAATAGGTTCCGGCCTGAATAAGTTTCTCGGTGCTTTATAAGTAAGATTGAGCACGTTTCGCGTAAAACCATATGGCTGGGGACGGTGGTTTTGAATTCAGATAAAGAGCACTTGGTGTGGACCGGTCGTCGCGTCTGTCGAACGCAGTACCCCGATCAATGAATTATGTATAACGCTCGCGACGTCTATATCTGTCCATCACTGAATGTTTTAACCTCAGCAATTATTGTGATTTGTGCCCTTGACTCCTGTATCCGCTTTGCCACACTATTATTCTACAGTATTACCAATGAAACTAATACCTGATATTATTTTTTTCATTTCATTCAACATTCCACAAAATCCATTACCTACATTTATTAAAATTTTGACAAATCGCAAAACTGCTCAAATGCTTAGACTATTTTTTTTCCATCTAAAGGATGGAATGCTCGAATTCTTTTTTTTTCATCGTCTAAGCTCGAATGTGACTGGGCTTGACAATTACGTTCACATTTCAGAGCAAAGTAGAAACAAAATGTCAAACAGTTCGATTAATAATAGACAATATTAAAAAAGAAATAGGGGACATAACAAAGCATGAAATAACCGAACATAGCTGTGAACAAAAGCCCTATTTAGCCAAGTGTTAAATGCTACTCGAGGACATTGAGCTGACTAGCAGAGAACGACAACAAACTAGCACCCATTTAAATTTGTATTACTTTCAAGACTTAACATACGTTGAGAATTAACTTATTTTCATCGGCATGAAAAAAATAGACTCTGATGGTCAAATATGAAACAATGAAAATTTATTGAAAAACCAATTACTTCCTCAAAAAGCACAAATTACAAAGAAACGGCAATATTTGTTTGTGACGTCACAACCGTAATGATGCCGTACAGGCTACATACTATTGATCGATTTGCTAAAAAGGGACGGAACATCCCCATCACAGACTTATAACCCTTATCACCAGAACCAGAACACCAGACAGATATCTATATGGTGTTTGCTGAGGTATGAAAAACTACTACAGATTCATTTTCAGCATAATCGTGCGAATGAGTTCTTGAAGCAATAAAAAAATTTTAGTCAACAAACGTAAAAATTATACGCCAAGTCTATGAGATTACAAAATCATGAATAAACATATTGTATTAAGTATGAGTTAATACTCGTTTGCGCTTGAGTATTTAAAAAAAATCAAATATAATCTTCTGGAAGATTCGTATGCGGTTGAATTTTTAAACGACGAACGATACACGAGCGCATTGTTATCGATTTGAGAAGTTTATTTAAACTTTCGGGAAACAGTCTGTAGATATTATTTACAGTTCTCAAATTGTACTTTAGAACGTAGTATTGAGCATAGCAACAGGTCGAATGCATATTGGTTACATAAGACTGCGCAAACGTGGAACAGTAGTCGCATAGTTGACTGAGCACGCGCCGACTGCAGGTTCCGATTGACATCAAACTGTTTATTAAAGATATTTCTCGCTTGTTCTCACTGTAATAGAGGTTAATTAAAGGACACTGTAATCCAATCGATGCACAGGGAAAAATATTATACGTAGATACGGCGACAAACTAAGGGAACCACCACAGATATTAATTAACGCATAATCGGCTTGAACCGGTCAGAAACAGCTTTATATCCATGCAATAAGAGCGAAAAAGACGTTTCATATTCCGAGTCCGCTCAGACATATCTGTAAGTGAGAGGTAAAGAACTTTATAGCGTGAAACTCGGTGTGTTTTCGTCCATATAGATACACGGAATTAGTAGAACTACCGCGGTTCCGACCGGACCCGCGCCCGACTCGCACCCGCTGTCTGTGCATACTACAGAGAGTTATAAAGAGAATGAAGCTCTTAAATAGGCATTTAAAATCGATCTTGTCAAAAAAATACGTTAAATAAAAAAACAAACGACGATGGAACTTAATTTCTCTTGCCGTTTTGCGTGATTTTTAGCATTCTAAAACAATGTTTGTAAAAACATCTAAATTCCAAAATATGAACTTAATGTCCTTAACCTCTCACCTTACATGAATATATAGTATTTTCTGACGCGCTTGATGTGATTCCGTGTTGACATGTGTGGTGATTCCTAAGTACAAACGACCGTTCCTCGAAACTGCTTTAAACTTAATACACTCGTATTGGTAAGGAAAACGTCACGTGTTGAAATATGCATGCCGGAAAGGGTCACATAACACTTCGACAACGTGTGTATTCTCAAATCCATATTAAGTCCGCGTGGTAGGGCGCTTATGAGTTGATGGTGGAAGTGACACAACGTCATCATCATCATCAACCAAAGCCCTACGTCACTTACTGCTGGGTATAAGCCGTAGTTTGTGCAATCCACATCGATCGCCTGTCTCAACGATCTACGATCCGAGACCTACGGCATGTCTCACGTTTTTACAGCCAGTTCTCTCATAACGTAATATACAATTACCTACCCTGCGACGGCGAAATTTTCAAACTAGTAGCCTTAGTAAAAGTGTGTGGCTCTCTGTACATTAGCGAAACAATGCATGGTGCATATTTAGTAGCAGTAGAGGTAGAGCTCCTTGTGAAAGAGATCGTCTAAGGTGCCACCTTACCTATTTCTGCCGCCAAGCAGTAGTATTAGCATTACTGTGTTCGGGTTTTGAAAGGTAAGGATGCTGGTGAAATTACAGGCACATGGGACTTGTCAACTTATGTCTCAGGGTGACGTGCGCAGTGGGTGTGCCTCTCAGATCTTTGCAATTTAAAGCTCTGAGTGGCTCTGTAACTGTTATGGACAGGCGTGTAACTAACCATCAGGCGCACGACGTGTTCGTCCCGTCACATGATGTAATAAAAAAAATATGTTTTATATCATGTTGCAAACATTACTAATATATTCGCACATCAGTTGACTCCAATTAGCATAATTATAGTGTACATGACAACGGGGACTATGGGGACTAGACGTCCATCATCCGACATCCCAAGATTCGCACGAAGCGCCTCGCTTCCACATTTATATGGCTAGCGCATTGAGGGCGAGCGACTAGGGAGTGGAATTCCCTGCCTTCGGACCTGTTCCCCGAACCCTATAACTTGGCCCTTGTCAAGACGAGGGTGGATAGGCATTATTTAGGTGTGCATGCTACATCGTCGACCTCATCGTCACTTTCCATCAGATGAGATATGTATAGATGTCAAATGCGCACTTATTTTTATATAAGAAACATGTTTAAATAAAATACGTATTACATAAACATCAGCCATACAATGAACGGCCCAACCGCAGTTTTAACTAATACGGAGTTAATGATCTGAGTGATAGTGTATTATAGATAATAGAGTCGACAAGGTCGACCTAAAATGAGTTACTATAACCGAACAACAAAAAGTTGGGGCCACGTCGTCAAAAACAAAGTGAGTAAGTAAGAGAGATAGAAAGAGTTATTCTTTAATTGTTCCGCTCACTCATCAATCTCGTCACATTAACAAATTA